TAAGTACTCTTAGTGCGCTCGCAAATAAACTGGAGTTCATTACACTGTATAGATGTGTGAATGTAAATATAAAAGTACATATACCTATATACTATTTATATATATATACATATGCTTGAACTAACTATCTAGCTAAGGACAAATGACGCTCAAGTAGTAAATAAACAACTCTATGTTTATTCATATTTATTGGCTCTATTGGTTTTGTTGATACACCTCCGTTTGACGACATTTCGATATTGATTTTTGATTAGCATTTTATTTAGCTTTGATTATTGTTTTCATACGCTAATGCTTTCGGCGTCATTAGCGCGTTTTAGCGTCGTCTCCACTTTATCCAACTTGTTTTTACTTGTTTCCTTATATCACGCAATCGGCAAGAAGTATCATAATCATTTTACTTTGTTAACCGTTCGATAATGAATTTTTAAATCAATTAGGGGAGATTTTTTTTTTTTTTTTTTGCTAAGTGAATAAGTTTTTTTTATAAAACTACTTTATAGCCAGCTTTGAATTAAAGCCTCTCTTGAGTATAATTACAACACCATTATGTTGCTTTTTAGGAATTTAAAACAATTATTCTTTTAAAAAATTTATTTCTTGATATGGTTAAGGCTTTCCGTTATCATTTCTCGGTTGGTAAATATATTGTGGTGATTATAGGACTTGAGGGCGAAATTTAGTCAAAAAAAGAAAACATATAATGAAAAGCATAACATATTTTGCTGTATTTGAATCTAGCCGAAAATTTGCTCTAGAACCTTAAAAGACTTCCGTATTAGAACAGCTATTTGCCTAACTATCGACTTAATGAATTACGTTTTGCCAAGGATATTAAAAAATTGTATCACTAATCTTTATAACTATTCTAACTCATAAAACTAAGAATCAAGTAATTTACCAAACAAATAAAAATGTCTATATCAAGGAACTTATATTTTTATCTCTTTGAAAATTACCTGATAGTTTCAAAAACAAAAGCATTTGATACGAGCTTCAATAAAAATGTATAAGTTATCAGTGGTAAGAACTTTGAAACTGCAGTTTTGGAATTTTGTATTTTTTTAGCTTTGAAGATCATAGAGATACATTTGTTACAAAAAAAAGTATTCAGTTGTAGTAAAATATCAAAAATCTCTCGACGATCTTTTGCGGTAAAAAGAAGCAAATTGTTGTGCTATGTCTGCTACGTACTATGCTCCACTATAAATGTGACTGTTAATATATAATTTGAATATTTTTTTAAGTTACTTTATTTGCCTCTCCATATATATGTTCTACTCTATATATGTGTTCATACTCTACAAGAATAACTGTTTACATAAAATATAAGGTTTCAGGTTTTCAATCAGTATTTTTAAAATCCATCTCACAACCTAAAATCTTCATGAAATACTTTCTTTTTTTGATTTTAAACCTTTTTTGAAGAAATATTTTTTATAAAAACATCTAATAGAGATTTAATCTTTTTATAAAGAGATTCTGAAGCAATTGTTGCCAAAAATACTTTTCTTCACAGTTATAACCTACGTTAGTAGTTCCTTAATAATAAATAAAACGTAATGATATTTTAAAAATATTTGAATAAGTCTTTAATAAAACAATAATAGATTTAAACAATGGTTAATAGATTTTTAAGGTTATGTCGCCTTGAAAAAGCATAAAGTTCTGACGAAGTTGTTTCTAACGTTATATGAATGTAATAATTAAGTGCATTTTGTGGAAATATTAAACCGCCAAATCCGAATTTCACGAAAAGCTTAATAAATAATCATGTTTGTTAGAACGAATAAATGAGCGAAGAGTAAATGAAAAAGTATTTATTCAATATTTTCGAAGACTTTTGTTAAATATGCTCACATTTCCACAAAGTTTTTTCGGTTTTCGCGAGATTATTGAATTAAATCTTCGTTTTGAAAAACATATAAAATATTTTACGACAAAGCTTGTAAACATTAATTGAACTTAAATTTAAATAATTACCCTATTATAGAAAAATGTTCGCGCATTAAGTATAGGTTTTTATTAATAAATAATTTACGCATTTCCAAAGGAACTATACATACATTTATATGTATGTGTGTAGGTAAAAATATATTTTTCTATTTTATACATACAAATTTGTACGCATTGCTACGAAAGAGGATTGTAAGATGGCAAACTATCACGGTGGGATGGACTGGGTAAGACAGCACACACAAGGACACACACATTTAGGCTTACAAATAAATAAATTCAAACAAAAATTTAATCAACTCAAAAAGGCAAATAATTACTAACAAAATAAAATATTTTAATATTTTTAAGGAAAATGTTGCCGTCAAGTGTTCGCTTTCAGCAGCGACACATTGTTGTGAAAACGCGTCCTAAATCAACTTAATTGGCTTTGCTCGTGCAATAAAAATCGCAAAAACACAAAATCATTTGAATTCTACGCGCACAATATATGTACATATGTATGTGTATAACTAATATTTTTTGTTTAAATAAAATTTTGTAGCTTCATTGAAATTAGCAATTGATTTTACGTTTGTTGGATACATCAGCAACAAGGATCGTGTGTATGAATAAATACTGGAGGATAATAGTTATGGACATTATTTTTTTGGTTTCTTTTTTTTTGGTAACAAAAAATGTTTGCAACATTTAATGTTATTGTGCGACTGTTACAATGGAAGTGGAAATATAAATGAAAATGAGTTATTTACAAATGATTATTTGCAGTCCGTCGTTCAGTCAAAGTCTTCGTATAGTTTTTATTGGGATGGAAAGCAATGCATAGGGAATTTGAGCTGAAAAAGAGTTAAAACTTGTCGCTCCGAATTTCCAGTCTTCGGAACAGCATTTGAATTGTCAATAAACTAAACATAGGAAATGTTGACAAAAATCGAAATATAGTCAAAATATGATACTTCAAAATTAACTAGTTCGAAAAAACGGATTATTTATACCTCTATTAGGTGTCACTTAATTTTTTTCGCTATCAATCCTTTGCAGGCAATGCAAATTTTGGCATTCTGTTTGATATTTTGAGTTTTTGTTTAGTTTGAACTATGACTGAAACTAAACAATTGACACCTCGTAAGGCATTGTCCCATAAAAAATTACAAGTTTATTGCACTGAAGACTATATTTTCTGCTGACCAGTCCGACCTATAGTAGTTTAAAACTAGTTTATTTCATTACAGGGTGTACCTTTACCACTTAGTATCAGTATGTGTGTTTATATGGTGGCTTGTAGAAATATTCGTATAAGTTGTGGCAGTTTACTAAGCACACACAGTTAAAGACAAAGAAAACACTTTACTATATTATTTTCTTTTTCAGTAAGCAATAATAGTCGGTTGGTTCGTCAAATAAATGTTGAATAGGAAGAAAAACGAAATACAGAAATACATATCAGATATTATGGTTTCAGTTTCAAATAATTATATATAATATGTATATAATTCATATATATATATATATTTATATATATATTTATATCATATTTAAGTATAAAAATATTAACAAACAAGTTTTATTTACAAAGTCAATTATTTACAGTTATGTGTGTTAAACCAAAAATTTTTAAACAAACACAAAAGAGTAAATGATATAAAAAATTATGTATGTTTATATATAGGCGTGTATTTTTCGTGTTATAATTAAATTGTATGCAAATTTATGCAAATGCTTTAGCAGCTTTATTTATATACAATAGCTATTTAAGATCAAAACATATTGACCACCGCAATTGCACGTCAATTTAATTAACCGTCTTATCAACAATTTTTTTATCTTTATATTTTTTTAAACTTCCTCGTGTATGTATTTATGTATATGTATTGTATTTATACATATGTATATTGTTTGAGCTGTTCACCAGCCATTCGCTGACATTTTTTGTTTGATTTACTTTACTGTTTTGAATTTTGTTTGAAAAATATGTATCTTACAAAAGTTGGGACGGGTTAATCTGCTAATCCGCTAACACGTACGCTTAAGAAATAAAGTCTGTCTTTTATTTGCGTTCAGAACGTTAACTTTAATTATATGTAGTAGAAATATTGTTTGCCACTAAATTATATATATATTTTTTTCTTTTTGATTGTGATTATTTGCGAGAGAGAGAGGACCCTTGCTATGAAGTAAATAAGAGAGTAAAGATGAATAAAAAAACGAAAAAAAATTTAAGAAAACGCAAAACGTTCGGTATATTCGAATATTGAGTGGAATAAAATATCGATTTATTTATATATATATATATGCATTTTTCAATGTATGTGTAATGGCTTTTGTAGTAACTATTTACAAGTATACAATTTGGTGTTTGTGTCTGGCTTTTCCTGCATTTATTAGTCATTTATCAAACAAACTAAAAATCGAAAACTAAATGGATTAAAAATATTCTTGAAATATACATATATAAGAGTTAAAATAAATTATATACTAACTTGCGATAGAAATTTAAAAATACTTAAATAATAATTTACAAAATATAAGCTAGTGAGAAATGAAGAACAAACAGAAAACATATATTTAATTAGCGTTTAAAATGAGGGGAAATTTTTATTCGTTGAAAAATCGTGATGCACATAAATATGTATGTATGTATAAAATATTAAATAGTAAATGCGTTAATGAAATATCCTAACCACAAACTAAAACGATTTGCTGTAAACCTATCATGATTCTTTGCCAAAACGGGTGCAATAAACCGAAACATGAAAGTTGTGAAATTAAAAATCAAACAGAAAACTAAATTTAACTGGATGAAAAATCATATAAATGCACACAAATCAGCAAAACTAATTATACATAACTCAAATCACACAATAAGAACTTAAAAATATATTTCCAAAAAATAAATATACGAAAAAAATCATAAACAAAAATTTCGTATATATTTTTTTTTTTTTTGATTTAGCAAAAAAGAGACAAAGAGCGTGACAGACAGATAGATAGATAGCTAGAGAGTGAGTTTGAATAGAGGAAATTAAAAAAAAATTAATGCTTACAATCATTCATATCATCATAGGATCTCATTATATACTGATCCGATGAGGATAGTCTTGAATGCCCGTTGTTGTTGTTCAAATTGGGATGAGCTCCCCCCCTATGTTCGCTTTGTTTTAAAACGCTACGCATCGCCATGGCAGATGGATTCGTTTGATGCATATACATACTATCACCTTCGCACTCACTTTCTTTATATTGAAGAACATTTTTATGTTTTTCATAGATAACCAGGCACCGATGACATCCTTTCCTACAAATATTTATGCATTTATGTAATATATTTTGCGTTTCGGCACAAACAAAAATGTTATGTCAAATTATTTAATTCTTATTTCAATTGTTTAAATTGTTTAATATAAAACGAAAAATAAATACTAAAATAAATATTACATAAATACGTATATGTATGTAAGTATCATAGGTATGTTTTTGAGGTAGGTAGGTAAAGTGGGTATGTTTTTGAACTGCATGTGTGTGCAGTTTATTTTAAAAATTTTTGTTTTGCTTTGTTTTCATATGAATTTAATTATGCTTAATCAACGTTTAAGGTTGTTATATGTAAAAATACGTTTATAAATATTTATGTAGTTAGTATGTGTAAATTTATTCAAATGTAATTGACAACTTGTTGCGAAAACGATCGTTTATTTCATTAAGAATTTCAAAATTAGTTTTAAAATAAAAAATTTCGTATTTGTATTAGATATTTATCCAATGAATAAAAATATAATGGGTGAAAATTATGGACGATAAAAAACAATATGTTAAATGTTAAAAATATTATGAAAATTTTTATACTGAAATGCAGAAAAACTGTGCATTACGATATTCACAAGCATCGTATACCCTTAACTATATTATGTAAACGGGAAAGATTTATTCGACATCTGATACAATTCTCACAACTGCCAGTTCTACATAACAAAATAGATCTGGATTGTATCCGGGCAAAGGCTGTTGTTTCGGCGATCTCACCCTGTTTGGATCGGTAAGTAGCAGTTATGGAAACAGGATTTCGCAAAACTAATTTAAAACTTACCCCAATACTGCGTATTAATACAAACATAAGAATATAGATCGAAAAAAAAGATAGATTGGCAATAACCGATCTTCTAGGTGCCAGCTTTTTAATTTTCTTACACACTGGACTTTGAAAAACCAAAATGATAATAAGAATCCTAAAATATGTATGTATATGTATGTTGGAACACAAATTTCGACATGTGATGTAAATGTCAAAAACCGGGGAATCAAAATGAACGATATTATTCATCATCTTTGTATTGCAGTCGCGTCCTAACCGGATCCGAATCACATAATATATTATGTATTATATGATCACATGTATAGGTGTAGGTCTATATTATAGTTCGAAATGCACAGTTTTTCACAAACATGACATCAAAAAATTCACAAAATCACCTACAAATGCTTTAGAAAGTACATGAAAAAAGTAAACAAAATCATAAAAAATACAACTCTGTAAAAGCAGTATATAAAATACCAAAACAATTACGAATGAATGTTTTTAGTGAAAAAAGAAACGCTGTGATCAAAAATTAGAAAACATAATAAATAACGTTTTATACTGTGCAAAATACTTAGACAAATTTGATTATTTCTTAGAAAAAAAATACACGTCATAAAGCGATAATGAAACTTAGAGAAATTCAATATTCAAAAGACATACAAGACAAAACAAGCTGATTGATTTTTTTATATATATTATGTCTGTATGTAGGTAGTTTAAATAAAATAATCGGTAAAAGTATTTTCATAACACATTTAAGACATTTCTTTGCCAACACGTTTGTATTTTGCTTCTAAAGAACTTAAAGAGTTACGAATTTTTACGATTTCTCAACAAAATAATTAAATCTATTTCCATTTTAGCTACAAAATAAAGTCATTATCAAACAACTGGGAACAAGGCAGTAGAGAAAAAGGATAGTCACACAAAAACATGTACGAAAACCAAAAACAGGTACAGATTGAAGGCTGATTTCAAGAACGCACACAAGAAAAGGTGCGTTCAGTTCCACTTTTAAAAAACCATATGTATGTTCGAATAGTATCAAGCAAAGGAAGAATGATTTTATGAAAAAAAAATGCAACAAAGTTTTGGAGAAATTATTTTCTTCAAAAGATGTATGATAAGTTATAAGAATATCAAAAGCCAACATAATTTGAAAATAATTTAATTCTTAACAAATACGTTAGACGCAGCTATGGTGTGAAAGAGCAAACGTAAAACTGTGTGGAACAGTACAAGGAGCGGGAATAGTAGTTAACGCAATACAGAAAAAATTAAAAATGCTTTTTTTAATTGAGGTTAGCACATTTAATACGCATACCGTATTCCAATTTTGTTATCATAAAATATATGTATATATGTAAATATGGCAAGGGCAGTACAATAACATTCAAAATACAGACCTATATTTATATAAAAATAGTAATTTAAAAACTCTGGAACATTGAAATTAAGCCTTATTTGTTTAACTTGTTTTTTTTTTTAGCTTAACCCCCCGTTTTTCATGAGCAGTGTTTAAAAATCTTGTAATTTTTGAATTAGTTGAATAACACTGCAGTATGGACAAGTTTTTAAACAAATTTTAAATACCTTTTTTACCCATTACTTTTGTTAATAATATTTAATGGTTTTATTTAAAGCGCTGAACTGATGCTCAATTAAGTATTTAGGTATATAATAAATTATAATATTGAATAATATGTATATACTTAGAATGTTTGAAAAGTGAAGAGAACATTTCAACTTACTCGTCAACAATCAAATATTTGTTACCATCCGAAGCCGCACATTTACCACGATAACTGAATTGTGAACCTTTTATATGAATAGACTGTTGATAGCCAGAAAGGAACCATGAACCTTCCCAACGTGCGGGAAAAGTGCAATTTGTTGGAACTGCGAATGAAAATATAAATACATGGTATACAAATATGTTTAATATAATATAAGCATACGCATATGGTATACATGTTAAAAACAATAATCAATATTCATTAATGCTCTTTATGAACAAGCAGGCAACTTCCTGGTACCTAGCAAACAGGTTCCTAGAAACAGGGGCCTGATGATAATAAAATAAAAAAAGATTTCAAGATCAGATTGATAGGTTAACGTTGGATACAACTACTATATATTTAGGTGATTTTATTTGTAACCTATTTGTAACCTCATAGACGACGATGCAATAATAATTCTTCGTAACACAATATTTTTTTAATTTGAGGTTGAAATTTTCCGTCATTCATAAATCCATAATAATATTTTTGTAAACATACAGGCAACTTATTGACTTGCTCATGAGCATTTAGTAGAGCTTCATTTTCCTATGAAATCTATGAAATGACACTTTTTTAAGTAGTTGGAAGCGAGATATGAATTTTTCTATCCGATAATAAAAAATTAATAAATAAATATAAGGCGGAGGACCTTTCCGTTACAATTAAGAGCTCATACTTAAAGTGTTTCTCGTAGAGGCATCTATGAACCTATTTTTCAAAGTACCAAGCGAAAAAAAATATATGATTGCAAATTATCTGTAATCTCATACTCATAAATATATACATGAAATATACATGCCTTACTAGAATGACAGATGAGAAAACACAATAACTATCACGATTCAATATAACAATTCAAGCCTCTGAGTTACGATACGGTGAGCTTTCATGATGCTCTCTTAACATAGTTTAGATAGGTTATACCCTTAAAAATAACATACCACAATTTTAAATCGATAGCTCAAATAGTTTTTGAGTTACAGCCTTCTAAAGCATAGTTGCTCAACTCAATCAGCTCCATCAGTTTGTCTTTCAACGCATTTTTTTCAACTTTTTATTTTTTAACGCGGCCATTTTGTCAATTTTAGATATTTTCTAGTAGAAAATGGTTTTTTTGTTTCAGTCCCATAGAAGGCCGGAATCACTTCAACTGTGGCGTGTAACTTATTTTTCTCTTTTCCTCAAACATTTTACTGTGTATTCTTAAAATACATATAAATATACTCTTTAAATTTTAAAACAAAGGATACAGTAGTTTTTTAAGCGACCACACTAGTTATATACCTAAAGATACGTCGTGCCAGCTTACAAAGCCAGCCTACGTCCTATTTCGGTGGGTAACAACACTGCAACTCCTAAAGTCTCCCTAAATATGTTCCCAATAATAACTTGAGACTTATAAAACGTTAGCATTTTTTCTACTTCTATTGATTTAATGATTTTCGTTTGCCTTGAGAGAACTGGTGAACTGGAACAATCTGTTTTACGCTAGATAGCTTACTTATGTTCAAAATTGTAGAGTTTTAAGAATAATACTGGCCGACATAGGCAACAGCGGAACGTTTATACGGCAAATATTGGGTTTAAATCACAGTCGAAACTATATATACAATGCACCTAAGTGTTGAAACTTAATTACGACAGTCTGACACTAAAATGATTTTTTTTAAATTAAGTAGTTGTTGAAAAGCGGAATCAAAGCTGTAGGGCCCTCCATTATTCAGGTAACCTCAATAATTCCAAACTTAATAAAATAGCCCTTATTAAAATAAGAACATCTTTAACTTACAGTCGAAAGCATGAATTCGACGACAAATTTTCGATTTGGAATTCCAGTTTTATATAAAAATATTCTATATAATTATAAACTCATAAAAAAAAATTACGTTATACATGGCATCCCAATTGTGGTAAATGCATGTTAAAGGCACATTCAAGCGAGAATAACAGAAATTTCGTTGAAAATTATGCAATCATAATGAACATGCATTTATAATTTTATGTACATATCCGATAATCACATTAATATTCAACACACAAGTACATATATACACATGTAAGTACCGACATTTAAATATATCCAACGACAATGCGTAATTAAGCCTTCATTTCTTACAAAAGATTTGTGGCTTTTTAATTTTTGTAAATTGTTCAGATTAGTGGCATGCAACCACCCTGGGCACGAGTGTGTGAAGAGAAATGGAAAGTTAAAGAAAACGAAAGCGTTATGTAGTGTCAACCGTGGATAAAACGAAACCCACGGCACAACAAAGCGTAAATGCTTATGAAAATGCAGGCATATCAGAGAGTTCAGACGCGTTTGAAGAACATAAAAAAGTAACAATTACCTACTGAGTGTCTCCCTTACCGTAAACCGTTGAAGACATTGTCAACATATTTTTATGCATGGTGCACCGAGCGTAACTGAAAAGCACAGCCAAACTCATACACACACACACACACACATACATATGTTTGTATGTGTATACATAGATATGTAGATATCTACAAGTATATGTACGACAACTGGAGTACCCACTTCGACTAATAGATACTCTAAGGCAGGAAAGGAATGCCTGCACTTTAGTGTAATTTTTTATTATATTTTATATACGGTTTTTAAACGCCGTAAATATGGTATGTACATATATTGGTATGTACATATACGTACACTCGTTCACGTTAGAGTTGATATGGATGTACTCTGTATGCACTTAGGGGTGACTTGACCGCCGTTGTGTGCTCAGCACACTTACCCTATATCGGAGACACAGTCGCCATCGCTGTGAACCGTAAATATATGCCACATTCCGGACATTCGCCATGAGGCACAAAAGGCGAGACTCTTTTCAACGAGATGTGACAATAAAACACTTTTAAAAGAGTGATGTAAACTACTTCTGCAATATAGCTTAATTATGAATTGAATTTGGCATTCAAAATAAAAACTCAAAATTAGCAAATTCCACACACAGGCATACGTCAACTTTTTTTCATACCTATATACAGTGATGTACACTGATATAGAGCTTAACGGAAAAATCTGTTATATTATAAAATCTAATAAATATACAATATTTGAATATACTTCCGATTTGGTCACCCCTAAATTTGCTTTAAAATTTACACAGAGCCTCCTTTGAAAGAAAATGTGTCCCATGTGTATTTTTTAACGTTTTTTTTCCCCTATAAATAAAAAACTTCAAAATGTATTTAAAAAAACATTGTTAATCGCACAATGATCCATTTTTTGGTAAAAAAAAAAAATTCTAAAAAGTTTAAAATACTATACATATGTGTATATGTTTTTTTAATTCTCTAACAAATAATCCTGATCAATCCAACACCGGTATGTTTTTAGTTCTTTCGCATAGAACTCCTTTCTGCATTGGAGGTCTTCGGCCGCGCTCGAAAAATATAACCATGACCGATCCAACACCAAGCTATACTTAGTTCTTTCGCATAGAACGCCTATCTGCATTAAAATATTGTGCCGGTGTAAGTTTAATTACTATTGTTTTAGTGTTTAAAAAAGTGTGGATTTTTTTTAAATCCGCGAAAAATACGAATGGGGCCTTTTCATGTAGTGTTGTATATACAATAGTACTACAATATATTTTTATGACCAAATTTTTTTTTTGAAATGCAATAAACTATACGCAGTAATTTTTGAAACACAAACGAAAACTAGATGAATAGCCAAATTAGTCCAACCAGACCGAGGTAGCTTTTGGCTTTAATACAACAAACATTTACGAACGAACTATTTTCGGCTAGTGGGGATAATTATAAGTTATAACTTTTACTTGAAAATATTTGAAAATATTTTAGCTATTATAAGCTATTTAGCTTTTATCCACCTTTTAGCTTCTAACAATCAAGAATAAAGTGTCGAAAGAAAGAAAACATTAGCAAAACTAAGCTACGTTTAGCTAAAATTTCCGTTAGAAAGTATATTCTTGTCAGGGCTTTTATAATTAACAATTTTTAAAATTATCTCAAAAAAATATTTGTAAAATATTTTGTATATTTCAAAGAGCAAGAAAAAATATATGAAACACTCACCATCTGATCGTCCTGTCCAGCATCTGGCCGGCGCAGTTAAACTCAGCATAAGTAGTGATAAAAGCATAAGATTAGTCGGCCAAGGCGGCACACCCGTTATACCCAAAGAGCAAATGTTCGTTCGCATCAGCAGTGGAAACGAATAAAAGAAATTAAATCGTTGTGTTGGATGCTGATGTTCTTGGCTTGCCACTCGCCTATCACTCTGTCCTGCTAAGTCGCACATTTCTCTTTCATCTACTATTGCTGCCTCTATAGCATCAACATCAACCACCGCCTTATGATCAGCAACCTTACAAATATCACTATTTTCCTTAAAGCACCTGCAGTCTAATGTTGTCGTTGTTTGCGAATTTCCTGTTGCTGCAGCCTCAGCAAGACTGTGAGCCACAGCATGATTGTATGCAAGCCCGTACCTCAAATCAGTTCTTCTTGCATTGATGGCAGAGGCAAGAAAAGCAAACGCCTTCTCAATACCCACTAACAACGAGTTCGAAGTGGGTCGTGAAAATATTCTATGCCGCCATTGTGTTTGCGCTTGAAGCGTTGAGACATCATACCAATCAGTGCTTGGGCATCGTTTCACCGGCAACTCATTGAATAGCTGCTCACCAGCAAATACATTTCCTAATCTATTCTCTTCCTCAATTGGCATAACTAATTGTCTTTTGTTACTTAAACTAAAATTATCCGCTAGGCAAGGGGGTGGTGTTGTGGTCTTTTCTGTGCTAAATACCGTGTGAATGACCGTTGAAGACGATGCAGGCGACATGGATGTGGGCAATGTTGCTGATATCGCTGTGGGTGTTAGTCTTTCCTGTGAGCTTGATTTAATATCGTACGAATCGCCAAGCACTGAGCTTTTACCTGCGTTTAATGTGGCGCTCATTGTGCCCAGTTCAAATTCTGATTCCAAAGTTGCTTTAATTTCTGACTCATTTGCTAATTGTGTATGTGGTGCTGTTGCAAAATCGTCACACATCCTCTTCAATCTTCTGGATGTCTTGACTTGCGTCGCTAAATTTACCGTAAAGTCGCGTGTATATTGCGGCTGGCGACGTTCCCGTACTTCTGTGACAGACGCTTGCCTCATCATGTGGTTATCATCGTCATCGTCGTCGTCCCGCTTGCGGCTTTGCAGTTGGGACATCACATGTTTGCGATAATTTTTATGTTCACGTTGACAGCAATTGCTTCTCAGATTCGCACTCATGCTGTCGCCCCTTGTGACAACTCGTGTTTCACTGTCACCGTGGCTATAATTGTGCCTACACCGCTGTCTGCGGCCCATGTCGATTGCAATGGGATCGTCGTGGCTACAGTTGCTAGTGCTGCTGCCGTTGCTGTCGTTGTTACAGTTGTTGTCGTCCTCCTGATTGCTGTCTACCACATTCACGCACCCTAATGTAGTTTCTGTTTTTTTAATATTTGTTTTTGTTTTTGTTGTTGTGCATTCTGCATGAGGAACATTTTGATTCGAATTCGAGCTAGGCGGTGAGTACTTTATTGTCGCCTTCATTGGAGTAGTTGTTGTTGGTGCTGAACTGTTGCTGCCACTACTGCTGCTTCGTCTACGTCTGCCTTCCGCCGTCTCGCACTGCAATAGGAAAAAAATATGGCTAATGAGAAATCTTATGGAGTAATATGTTTTTTATGTTCACACATATGTAGGTGTAATTAAATTACAAGCACGTATGTGTGTATGTAATTGCATTTCATTAAAAAAGTTGACTGTTGCAATATTGTATCTCTGCTTTATATATACACGTATATATTCCTTTTTATATCATTTTAATTACCGCTAGTAAAAATATGTTTGTATCCGGAAATGCATTTAAAAGGAGTGAGACATCCACAATCGCTGTGTGCTGCTTTTTTTAAATATTTTTCATACATACATATGGTATGTGTGCTTACGCGTTTTAATTTATAAGCATGCCTATTAAATACCTATGTATGTCCTCCCACACATGTGTTCTACCCTAAGGGACTAATTTAAACATTATACAAGGAATTATGCTAAGTATTTTCTTCCCCTAAGCGGCAATATATTTGAATTCTGCCGTAAAAGGTATAGAATCAACAGTTTGGCTTGCTTTACAGTTACCACGCCCAACTCTTTGGGGTATATTGTAACCTAACGTTTCTACTTCCTTTTATATATTGGATTTCCGCCTTATGTTAGGCATATTTTAAATAAAACCAGGACAAATTTCAGTACAGTTCACATCATTTCATTAACCTTGTAATAGACTAAACCTATTAACCAATTGGATAATCAGTTCTCCATCTTTTCGTTGCAGAAGTGAGTTTTCTCGTTAATTTCTAACAACACCTGGATGGAAAACCTTTTTTTGGAATTATGCATTATTTTTCCAAAAAATTAAAATAATTATATTTCTTTAATCAATGTTACGTCAATAGCACATTTAAAATTTTATCGAGCTGATCTTTATTATAAAATATGTAAGCACTTCTGTGATTGGTTTTCAAAAAATGAAGTAAACTATGAGAATATAGGAAACAACGAGTTATAGTGCTATAATCGCTAAGAGATCTTTTAACTTTGCACATCCCTAAACCCAACACTGAGACCTCAAAAACATTTCTTCCATGGGAATTCCCATTTCTTCAGATTGCCTTAAAACTTATAGGATACTCCATTTGTTGAAAAACAGGAAGGCAAATTCCATAATTGTGATAATTATATATACGAGTATAATAACATCTGGTTGTATAACATTAAATCATATGCGTTCACTTTTTAATACAAAGTTTTTATTTGGTAGAAAACAGTGCCGCTTTTAAACTAGAATCAATATTTGTACCATTTTTTAAATACAAAAACAACACTTTGGTAGCCAACAAGTTTTACGTTACCTTCCTTAAATAACAATTACGTGCTAAATAGCAACCAAATTAATATGAAAAAAACTTTTTCAATACCAAAAATTACTGTGTTGATGCCTTGAAGTCTTATAAACGAGTGTAAGCACGTCCAGTGAAAAACTTTGTCTAGAACTAGCAAAATACTGAGCTAGTGCAACACTAACACCCACTCTAAAACACTTATTCAGCCCTAACCGTAATATATACATTTATGCATATACTTTAACTTAAATTGTAGCTCATAATTAAACTATACATATATTAAGAATATAAGACAAACATTAATAAAATTATAAGTCAAAGCTTTCTATATTTGCTCCATTTCTAATCTCTTCGAATAAATTATGTATGGAAGATATGTGGCTGTGCTACTTGTGCGCCCCTATGCATGTGTAGGTGTAAGTGTGTCACTTTATTATTAATTATGTACTGATGACTGCACCTATTTTAAAAATTATTGTATATAAATGATATAATAAATACAAACGATCGGCCTTTATTTTATTGCGCTACAACTGACTTTTTGTGAGATTTATGTTTTTTATATATATTATGATTTAATTATGGTTTTTTATTCTCTTAACTCTAGAAATCGAACAAATAAATTGCCTATAAATTTAAGAAATCATTTATTCTGGGAAATATAAATTAAAGTATTTGACTGGAAGCACTATTTCTTGTTCAGAAATTCAACTCTGATACCATCTCTAAGGATGCTTATCACTGCTGCATACTTAGCACCCTGAGTTGTTAGACCAAGTAAGTCAAACCACCTATTTGCGTTTTTAACATTTAGGGAGAATAAAAAATTTTTTTTGAAGCAAATTAGTTTTATTTAAGAAAATTATGCAGACGTCAACAAATGCTTTGGCGATCACAAGCGAAACTTGAACATATGTAAGCATTAAAGCAACCTGCAATATCAAAATTTCCACAGTATTTTTCCATGGACTGAAAATGACCATCACTTGCACAAAATTATGAGAAAGCTTCACTCGGCTTGAATCTTTCTATAAAAATTCAACAACCTCACATGCAACTCCTTTACATAAATTCTATAACATCTAGCAAATTATACCAGTATTCTTTTCATATGCTTAAAACATATGTAGGTATTTTAGACTTATTAACTAAATTCTTCCCAAATTTTGAAGTTATTTCTTTTACCGTGAGGCGAGTGTGTGCAACACTGTTCCAAGCTACTGTGATGTGTTATTATCCGTTATTTATTGCTTTTATATTCAAAAATGACACATTCAAATGCAAACATACCTAGATTTTAGGGTGGTCGATACAATAGGATGAAATTACTATGTGTTCAAATTTAATAAATACATTCTTGAAATTCTTAAAAATATAAAAAAGTATTAACTTATGTAATGTGACGCATATGAATGGTTATTTGAATATCGAGATTTAGAAATGTATTAACACTTTATTTTCCATTAAACAATAAGAGAGTTTTTGAAAGTATTTTTAAACAATTTTTTTATCGATTTTAAAATAGAAATCTGAGTATACAAATTAACAATGTATAAATTTCAATTAATTACAACCAAAATTCTCTATATAAATAATATTTAAAATTTACATCTTACACTGTACAACACTCGGCTAGGTATTGGACGAAACCAATATTTTTCGGGAGATTGAGTCATAAGTAAAAAAGGAATTTTTCCATTTGGAGCTCGAAATATTTGCCTTCGAAGTTTGAAAAAATTAAAATATGGAAATATGGAGAGAATCTACGCTATTTCTCTTTTTCATTTGTGTATAACTTTATTCGATGACAGTTACTATATGCTCAATGTCGGATCTTCGAAAAAAATTAACTTGACTTCTCTAAAACTAAAACCCAATCGAAAAATAAAGCTCAGTGGATCCTGTCTAGATGTACGAGCTTAAAATTTACGACTTCCACAAAAAATTAACTTGATTTTAACAAGATATAAAGTAAAAATTTTTGTTTTTACTGCTAAGAGGTACTACATATCCAATCGTGCTTAGGAGGTGCTTTTAAAAGCCAACCTGAACTAATCAAGTATTCATAAAACTTATAATTTTTATAAGAAAATTCACGGTTTGTAAACCGTTAATTATGTTTTACACTCTTATATTTCGACCGAAGCAAAATGTTTCAATTTTTTTTTTGATCACCCTAATACGAAGTGCTAAGAATACATACATATTAACGAGTTTTACTACGTAGGTGTAAATGTATGTTCGTCCGTCTGCATTGTTGCATGCTGAGAGGAACAAGCACCAAGCAAGTTGAGGCGACTACGCTATAAATGATATTACGACTAAAAGAACTATAAGAAAACACGCACGCACACACGAATACCAAACAGGCTTTAGCGCACATCTTTATGTAAATAAGACTACCGTGTCACTGGCACTGGATGAGGTATAATATGCATAAATTTATATTAAAAAAATAAATTACAAAATTATACGAGTAATTTAAGTTTCGTTTTTTTCGGTAGGGGCAACGTTGATAGAACAGCAGACGCCTCAGGGCGCCTTAACACACCTGACATGGTCTATGTATTTATGCATAGATATCTTCTATCTGAATATGTATTTATTATATGTGGCTCCATTTAAAGGTGTACTTTTATCTACATATTATAAATATACATACAATCTACGTGTGCTCTAATGTGCGTGTGTGTAGGCACATATCTTCGAAAGAGCGGAGGGTTGATAAATTTTTAAATTTATGCAGACATCTTGCAGTGCACTAAATAGTAGCCTGGCATGGTGCGCCTACTGCCACTAAACCATTTTATTTTTCATGCATTCTGCCTGTCAAAAAGTAGAAGATATGCCATAAATATATATTAGGGAGGGAAGCAACGTGGACAAGGCCTTTTCAGTTCTTGCATGAATAGCGGATTTCTTTACATATATCTATATGACGAACAAAAAGACAAGGGAATTATAGAAAATAAACTTTATTAAATAAGGAATTTATTTGATTTACGCGGGTATTAAAATGACTTTAATCAATGCCCCAATTTCGAAAATGGTTTGGACTTTTAGAAAGCACAACAATTTCAGTGATATGCCTACACATATGTATATACAGATGTACATATGTATAATATGGGCATATACAATATATGCCGGTAACTTAAATACTCTATTCAAACTTTGATAGTTTATTGAATTGTAAATAGATTGGATCGAAGTCATGACTCAACTTTGTGGTCATTTAGTATGTTAAAACCTTGGTCTTACAAATCACTCACTTTTGGCCATCAATAATTAACTTTTAGGCAACTGTGATTAGGTCTGAAATCCGTAATTTCTATAGAACTATCCAACTGTGTTTTCGAGGCAAAATTTTATCATAAATATAATTTCCATCTTGCCTTTGCCAACTGGGCATCCTGATCTATCATTTTGTGACAATTTAAGTTTCTAATGAGACTAGTTTAAAGGTCGTATTTAAGTAGGTGAATAAATTTCTAACTCTAGAGTTGACAGTAGTTTGACATATCGCTAAAATATTTATAACGAAAATATGTTAAAGATAATGAAAATGTGTTTCAAATAGTTTCCATGCCTCGATCAGAGTAAAATTTAGTCATGAAAAAGCTAATAGAGGTGCTTTAGTCATTGGTAAGTCGCTGAATGTTTTATAACCGAATCAAATAAGTAAAGAAACGAAAAGCTTTGTGAAGCAGATGCGTCCAATCTGATAAAAAAATATATTATTTTCCAGTATAGGAATTCAAAACATTTCTTGTGTAAGAGGACTAAAATAATTTTTCATTTATAGTTGCATTCTGAAATATTTAGACTATTAACCAATAATCCATCCAAATTGTTTAAAAGATGTTTAAAAATAACATACTAAAAGTCCTCATCATTCTGATATGTTAAAAAAAATATTCGAAGACAAAGGTGAATTTCGCGATTTTCAACGAAATGGTAAGTTGTAAAATTACTTTGAGCAAAAATTAAAGATCATCAAATTATTTATAAAAGTTTATAAATACTTCTTTTGTTAAGAGCTACCGTTTCTGAAAGTTGTAACAACGCGATAAGTCACTATCTCATAGGTGACGTGTGCATATTATAACGACCATTACTGTCTCTAAAATGGTAGGTCTTAGGAAAAAGATATTTTGACTAAGGTAATTTTTGATGCAACTTACCATGTCGTTGAAAATCGCTAAATAATATTTTTTGACATTTGACCTCGAGTATTTTTTTCCACATATCGGAACGATGAGGACTTTTAGTATGTTATTTTTAATCATGTTTTGAACCTATTCACTGACTTTCAACTTGTTGAAAATTTATGTAACTACTGTAAATATTTAAATATTTTTAAATTTGTTATTATCAATTCAATATGCAGTAATATACTAAGGAAAGAATCGTTAATTATCAGCTGAAAATTAAATATATTATAACAGAAATCATTCATTTCCAGGAATAGAAGAACTTATCTAAATAAAGAAATGAAACTAAACGATAACTTTAGTTTTGAGGATGTGATCATTAGAGTAGCAGCAAAGTTCATAGCGAGTTTGGTAGTTTATATTCCTGATTTTAAAAAATTATTAATCTATTGCACGCACTGTTATATATTTCTGATTTTAAAACTGAAACAATTTCTGTGTTTCAGTTTTTACGTAGATTTCAAGGTTAATCTATGCACAATTATACCTTTTTTGTTTTATTGTATTACATACATACACAATTACACTGCTAGGTGCACTTTTTGGCTTTTTTCTTTTTTACACATTGCGACGAATTATAAACAATTAATACCCAAACATATGCACGTAGATATACACACATATGCATGTATATACAGGGATGTATGTATGTATGCTCAGGATAGTGTTCAGCAACATAATCGCAATTATGATATACGTTACCGTCATCAGCATAATCTGATTGTAGTTATGATTATTATCGTTCTAAAAACGGCACAGCAGTGTTAGTACATAAGTGTAAGGTGTGTTTTTCCACAACTACGCGGCGAATCGACTACTGGATACTCTCTCATAGATTCAGTAGCGAAGGACGTGCCGTAAAAGCTCGCCTACAGAGCAAGACCACGATGCCTGAAATCCTTGCTGTGCTGTAAGAGCACAAATAGCAGCTGCGGCTATAGACCAGCTTCAGCACTACAGGCAGGCTGAACCAGTTTCATTTCGATCTGTCCTTTTGCAGCGCCATTCGATATCGCTATTTTATTTTATTTTATTGCATTTTTAACTATTATCCTGTCGTGAGCGCTCGTGGCATTCCGTAAAGTCGGAGTATGCGTTCTCTTGAACACTCGCTCTTGATAAATAAATGCCATGGAATCATGGAAACGCAGAGTTAACGTCAAAGAGATGCGCTTATTCAGTGTTTCAGTTAATTCCATCTTTCTTTCGTTTTTTTTTCTGGTGTGCATGAAACTTCGTTACCTTTGTGAGAAACTGAGTAATTGGGTTTAGATATAATTTTTAGATATGATTATTTGGAAATGTGTGCCGCTGTGCCGCTCCAACTTGCCACTGTGACTCCATTCTATGAACGCTTCATGCATGGGGACACACACACATACATATCTAGATTTTATGATAGCCGTTTTGTTGGAATATTAATTTTCTTATGATAAACTTCAAGTTTTCAACATTTTTTCCGACTCTCATACACAAGTAACGTTCCGTTGCCTACTGTTCCCCTTTGGCTTTTGATTCCGTTCGATTCCTTTTGGGCTGGTTCGATTGATTTCTTGCTGCGTTTATTATTTCAGTGCAGTCTGGCGGAGCGCCAGATACTTCAAATGTTCACGACAGACGAACGAAAGGTAAGGAATTACTTTTAAACATACACACACAAACACAAGCATATGCATTTACATACTTTTGTATGTATGACCGTAGTTAAGCGCCCATCATCCAGTGTAATACAGAATGTCGCTCGATCTGGTGAGGTGCTTCCGAGTTGAAGTTGAAAAATTTATTCCCGTAAATGCACATATACATACGTACATACTTACATATCTACATGCATACATATGCACATGTTGGCGAAGCGAAGTTTCACATGCACCACTTTAGGGAGCGGTGTCGTGAGAGCATAACTGAGCGGTGAAAGGGGCGACACGACACTAGTACGGGTTTCAGTTCACGTCACTCACGCAGGGGGTTTTCTTTTGAGGGTATACAAAATTTTACACAATTTTCGGTGGAAAAATCGAATACTCGCTTTCTGTTTGAACACAATAATTTTTCCTTTATTGAACTTATTAGCACACAATATGCTTTCTTTTGGTTAATAACAACAATTTTTTATGTATATTTGTACATATGCATCTACTTACTATATACATATTGAGATATGTACATTATAAGTTATATGTATGTGCATATGTATTTTTCAGACTACACTTCACTTTTTCGCTTTTACTTGTAATGTTTAGCAACATTTTCATACAATTCTTTAAATAATAATTTCTGTGAGCTATAGCTATTAATTTACATTTTTATTAAATTTTTTTCCGAATTAATATTCACCTTTTTCACAATTTAAACCTTTACACACATTCAGACTTTTTGTGTAGCTGCAGCTGCGACCACTAACTTCTTTGTTTTAATTGAATGCTAATGCCTTGGCTTGGCTAGTGCGAGTGTGTATGTGGTAGTAGTAGCTACTACCGCTGCCCGTTGTATAGTATATGCGCCCAAGCTGTGGCTTTGACTGCGGCTGCGATTGAGACTATGACTGTGACTGTGCTTTTTCAGTTTTACTAATTTCAATTTCTTCTTGCAAATACACAAAACATTTTGTTAGCCGCTCCAAATATTAACCACCTTGTTGTACTAAAGTTCAATGTCTACTAGTAGCAGCCGCGGCTCTCGTATGGCAAATAGCGCAATGTTTCACGCTCACTCTTTTTCGTAGCTAACCAAGTCTCGCCGAGTGTTCCAAAGAGTGTCGGCACACATGAGAATCCAGAGTCAATTCAAGCACACGCTACGTATGCGTTTGCTCCTTGACGCGGCAGCTGTGAAACAACACTCGGTCGACAACCTACAGCCGATAGCATAAAGTGATATGCTCTCAATGCGCCCACAGCGAGATGATGATGACATTGTGAATAGAACAGCAGCGGCTGCTTGCTAAATGTAGCATTATCACAACTGTTATGAAATAAGTGCGAGCGGGATGAATGGTATAAGTAGCGTGTCGAATGTGGTATTCTACCACCGCCAGTATGCGGCGCTCAATTACTTCCAAAACCGGACCAACATTGGTGGCGGTCAATTCTGCGGCGAATTTCCACACATTGCACGCTCCTAGTTTCAATGCAGTTTAGTTGTGCTGAGAGAATTCTCTGTTGTTGTGTGCTCTTTAGTTCACCCTGCATTTACCATAGTATACGCTCTCACTGTCTTTTTATCTTTCCGCACTTAAATTCATCTTAGTAGCTCACTAGTGCAAAGAAACGAATTTTTATTGATTTTTCGTTCCGTTTCAATTTTATCAATTTTGACAGAAGATAGTATCGTCCATAACTGGAAATGTATGAACGCTTTACTTGCAAGTTCATACGAGTTTTTTGATCTATAATTAACACTTAACACTTACTCCAGTTAGTGGCTGCTTAATGAATACTTCAGATTTGGTCACTTAGTAGATAATTTGGATTCTAAGGTGATTGCTAAGCAAATTTTTATATTTGTGCAGATAAATTTAAGCGACGAACATAATTGAATCATTACCTACATATGTACGCATGTACATTTGTATATACAAGTGTGACTATGTACTAAATTAGATAAGCAACTTAATTCCCAATTGGAAAATATTATCTTTAGCACATTGTTGGAGATACCCCAACCTTGGCCGACATTTCTGTTTAATATATACATATCTATTTAAAGGGTGCATTTCTAACGAATTCCGTGTCCCAAAGTAATTGGGTACTATTTCTATATGATTTTTCCAGCAGGGGTATTTTAGATAACAGTTTCTATGAATAAACGCTGTAGTTCACATAGCTATCATATAATTTCGCACAATGTTTATTTTAATAAACCAAACTAGAGCTATATACTTATATATGATTCATGAAAGACAGTATTTACTGTAAAAACTCTAAATCTTTTTATAATAATTCTAAGAACCTCAACATTATCTACGGACGTCATATAGTCTAGCTTATTGTTTATTCAGAAAGTTTTTGTCTGACAATACACACTCATCCGACTCTTCAATTACTCAAGGCATTTCTTTTCAATTACGCAAGAGTTATGAGTAATAATTAGCAGTGCTGCAATTTACCTGCATTGCAAACTTAAGTATGTGATTGCGCTTGAAAGCATTCCTATATACTTACAAAATTAAGTACATAACATACATATGTACATATGTAAATACTATTGGTGATACAGTAGGCGCACTAACAAAGGGTAATTGTGTAACAATATTTCTAATTGAGGAACAATATTTACTGGGTGATAATTAAGCGGCTTTTGAAAGATCTGCTAAGCCTCAGAACTTTCACTTTTAACTTTCACACACAACCAGATGTTTCTTTAAAAGCTGAAATTTGATCTAAGCTAATTAAGCTAGACTTCAAGCTGGAATGTTCATATTGCAATTTACGATAAATACGATTTTTTTGAATTAATCTTGAAGAGGCATTTTATTTATTAAATGAATAAAAAAATACATTTGTGGTACAGACATAACACATATAATTTACTCTATAAAAAACGGCGATTCATTTTAAAACATTTTGAATTCCCTTGATCCCGCTCCAGAGGGACCTGTAAAAGTATCTGGCGGGGCGAAGATTCTTCTGCTTAAAATATCAAAAATTCAAAAACTAAAACAATTTATTTATACTATAAATAAATACAGGCAATGATCGAAGGACGGATTAAAATTTTTGATTTTTGGCGAAATGCCGGTTTTCCCAAAAAAATCGTTTATAATCCATATTATTATCAAAACTCTTCCACCTTCGATCAGTGTGTAGGTTGTGTGAAAATAGTGTGGACCGATAGGTCCAGCCGTTTCGGAGAAATTTTCCTCACTGACTTTGAAAACAGTTCTTACAAATACGCTAATATCTCCGAATCTATTTGCCGGATAAGCTTTAAATTTTCGCAGAATATTCTCAAATATATGAACATACATTCGATATATGTATAAGATATATAAATATAAGAGCTAAGAATAATATAATTTTTTTTAAATTCACAAGTAGATATAACCCCTTAAACAAAAACATTTAATACGAACGAGAATATAAATTTTGAATATAAAATAGGTATGTATATGTATGTTAATTAAATGAAATTAAAAGTTATATATGTAGTAATTTAATAATTAGATAAGTAATGCGGTCAAAAATAAATCTGTTTTGTTTAGGTGGGGAAGGAGAAGGCTTTGTTTATAAGTCATAAAACATGTAGGTTACGAGTCGTCCTGCCATGTCAGCTCACGATAAAAGCGAAAAAATTAAAAAAACTTTGCTCGAAAATCGTCATGTTAGCGCCAGAGAAATGACAAAGGGATCCAACACCTGCAACATATGGATCAAGCCAAACAGTTTTGGTGAATCTTATGGGCCCGAAACCTTAGCGGTGACTCGTACAAAAAGAGTGTTGAATAAATGGCAGTAAATAGAATGGAGCCAGAAGTGGTGTGGTGATTTCATTATCTGCTTTTTTTTTTACCGAAAAAAAGTCAACGCTGGGTAATATGTCAAAAACTGTTTGAAGCTGAGATATAAATTTTTTGCAGAACCAATTTAAAGAATAGTATATTTTAATGTAGAATGTGACTATTTTGAAGGCTTTGATAAAAGCAACGTGTTAGAAAATTAGGAAACTTGGGCGGGATCAAGATGTAGATATCTTTTCACTAAATTTCGGGTTTCTACCAAAAATACTTACCCACTAAGCGGCTATATCAAGATCAATTGTCAAACAGACATACATACATAACAGTTCCATTTTAGCTATATATAATAGTGACACCAACAAACATCAGCTGCAACTCCCAAATGGCTTATAAAATACTTAATACACGTCTAATAACGTCTCCGCGATAAGTTTCACCTGGTAACCGAAATGATTTACAACTACGAGTATACAGCGCTACCAATTATAAGAGTTATTGGTATAATTGTCTAGCAGCTAAGGTAATCCCACAGCGGCACAACCGCAGAGTTTAAATATATATATATTAAATACCAGCATTAGAATTCAATAAACATTTCTCCAAGAACCAACAAAGAAACTCTACCTAATTCCATACCTTCACGCCGACATACCAAATACATACCTGTAACATGCTAAGTCGTCGGCTGCCCGTCCTCAACTTAAGCAACCTTCAAAATTCAGTCCTTATTATGAGCACATACCATATGTATGAATGAAACTGATTTATATAATGTAGTAAATTGAGTCAACACCTCGCTTTAAATGCATTTGTTGAATCAAAAGAGCAGCTTCTGAAAAGACATGTGTGCTAATGTACGAGTATGTTTGTATATAGAATGTGTATTTAGCGAAGACATATTAAATTTACACTTACACTTTCCAAACAAAGCACTTATATAAACAATAAGAAAAAATTAGACTCGCTCAGGAGGGAATTCAGACAGCGGTCACTTCCGAAACGCCACCAAGGCGACAAACACAAATACAAACATACGGACATACGTACATGGGATGCAACGTCTCACAGTTGCCACCTGCTCGTTCGCATTTAGATATTATAATTTTTATGTTTGTAGACTTGCTGTCTCCAGCAAGCAGTAAGCTTTACCTTCGGCTATTCTTCTTGTTCAATGAGATCATGTTGGCGCAAACGTGCACCCGCTGCCTGTCAACCCGTCTAACCCACCCACAGCCAGTTACAAAGCACTTGCCGCAGGGAACGATACAAAGCCCCGTATACAAGCGTTCGCATGCATATGTGTATGTGTGTGTGACTGACTATGTTTGGGTTTGTGTTTGCATGAGAGCATGACATGAGCAACAGTGGCATGCAAAACTACCATCGTCTACTTCCACATGGGCGACCAAAGAACCAGCCAGCCAACCAAGCAAGCAACTGCGTGCATTGCGAACATTGTACATTTTACTGCTGTGCCAGCAATAAATTAAAAGCATTCCCGCGGGATTTATTAACCGCACACGCACGGACAAACCAACCTAGATCTGAATCTTTGTGTACGGTGCTGGCTTTGTGTCCCTGCGTTTGTGTGCATGTATGTGTGTGTTTGCTTATAACCACAACAAGAGCATTGAGGAATACTGACGACGCTGTCATTAAAAAGCAATGCAGCACGAGAAATGACTAAGGACTGAGACATAAAAGTATCTGCGAGCATTTATGCATTCATAAATGCTACATACCAGTATTCTAACTAACATACAAACGTACTACTTACTAATACACATTTAACCAATTACAAAAATTGCCATTTGTTCATACTTAAGTACAATGTATTCACCTTTGCGTTCGCAGCGGTTAAATATGTACTTATGTATGTATGTTTGTATATACCTATGAATATATATACATAGGTTAAAGTTAGAGTTTTAAAGTAGTAAATTTTGGTATTTCAATATAAGGATGTCTCGCTTTAGCTGACCCTAATAGGTCCGATAATTGTAATCTTATCGCCTAGCAACAGCTTAAAGCTTCTTCAAAGAGATTTCCTTTGTTTGATAACCAAAAAATAAATTTATTTTTATTTTTTTCTTTATGAAAGAGATAATGAATACTATCTTTGACGTTTAAAGTCCCTTCTGCTATTTGGGCCAACATCTGACTGTTTCCTAATTTAGGTTCTCGAATGACTTTCCATTACAAATTTAACGAATTTATAGATTTAACTGTTATATTTGTAAGCAATTATTAAATAAGCACACAGTTGTAAAAAACGTAAAAAAAAATCAATTTAACTCGACATAAGATTTTCATTTTAAAAAACACGTTACCTTCGGCTGCACCAAAGCTATAATATCCTTCACAGGTGCATTTTTAAAGCAAAAACTTTTGTATAACTAAATCAAAAATCGTAATGCCAACGGTTTGCATTTAACGGTTATAAACAACTTTCAAGACGTTTCCTTCTAAAAAGAATAGGTATATAAGGTAAATAAATGAAAAAAAGACGTGAGAAGACAAAACGTTTACAAAGCATTGTGGGACTTCGCCGAAAGTTGTCGCTGCTTTACTTAAATGGGAGCTCGTCCAATTTGTGAAAAACCTTCCCCAAAATGATGATGTAGATTTGACAATACATTACACATTTTTAAATCAACAAAATCCGACAACAATCATATAGGCAAATAGGTCTATTAACTCGTGGTTAGGGAGAAAAGAGAAAAGAACTTTTAAGTTAATTGGTGACCAATGCCGATTTAAACAACATAAAAGATCTCTATTAGACTATACATAGGGCAAAGAAAAACAATTGGGTCATATTCAGTAAGAATGGAGAAGTAATTCAATCAACAGAGTATCACACCAAATACGAAAGGATTAAATAAAACCACAAAATGTTTAACGTACACAACTATTTTATGGAATATGGAAAAGAAGTCGAATTTATCTCTTTCAGTGTGAAATTTAAACCAACAATTTTTTTTATATATGTTGCATATTTTGATCCGTCTATACCTTTAAAAATACTATATTAATTGTAAATGAACATTTGAAATATTTATTGAGTTACAGGCAAAGTGAAGCCGCTCAGTTCAGTTAGCTCTATTAGTTTATCGTTAACAGCGTTTTTCGCGAAAAATCATATTTCGAATGTGCTGCACTAAATAAAACTGTGCTATAAAACTGAAAATTTTCTTAAAAACCACCATATTGCCAATTTTTGATTCTTTTTCGACCGTGGTCGAAATTGATACAGTAGTTTTTAATTTCCAAAAATCGACATTTTTGGGCTGCCACAATCGGTGTGCCGCTTAAACATACCTCACCTCTTTCAAGAGGGCCTCTGGGGATGACGGTAACTCTAAAAACACACACTATGCTAGTAAAATTAATGGTGGACTCGTAAGAAAATGTTAAACTTTTTAGTTTGCAAGAAAATGTTACTATAAAGCTACAGTTAAATTTTCAGTGGATACGTGTAGTACGTCCGAGTACTATCGCCTGATTTCAAAAAGATTATTTCGTCACGTATAAAGTTTTACTAGTTGAGCCGACAAACTCGAACACTTTGTCACATAACAGATTACGAGGGAACTTTTGTACCAAACATTTTAGGACCATAAAGTGTACTTTAAGCCGAAAAATAACCGTTTTTTGACTGATGTTTCGTAAACCATGTACAATAAATTGGGTGTTTTTCTGTTAACTTAATAATAAGGATATAATATATAGAAAATATATGTATATGTAAGCAAGTAACATATTTCTAAATAACTATTAAAAGGATATATAGTTGTAACTTGATGGAATAAGCTGAATTTTCTTGTTGTTGTTGTTCACATTTTAATTATAACACCATAGTATATTGAGTACGAATTCCTTACTAATTCTAACAGTTCTACATATCGTGACCTAAAATGCGAAATAACATAGCAGCATAAGTATGCAGGAGAAGTAAAAACGATATAATATAGAAACTACTTATATTGAAAATACATTTTTAATTTTCGTTATAACTTGGATACATCTGCTAGCTGAAGCTTAATACGTATAGATAATATAATAAAAAAATAATCGGAAACTCTTTTTATTTTGTTGCGATAACCTTTCGGTAGTCAATGACAAACTACCTCTATATTTATTGTAAATATCGAGCATTAAATGGTTATCTTAAATGTTAATAGTTTCTTTAAATGCTTTGTTTTGAATGCCAACAATTTCGACTACTATTATACATTTGTATGCACATATGAAGGAACAACAGGAACTTTAACGCATAAAAACTAAATTTCGATATATTATATAATGCAAACATACCACATATACACAAAGAACTAAGCGAATTTGCGAAATATCAACTTTGCTATATTCAACACCAAAATCAATTCGTGATTTCTCCTTCGTTATGATTCGAGCCCAATCCACTGAAAACTCTTTCCGGCGGATGATTGTGTTCGACATTCCGCACAGAAAACTCCTCCTCATTGACATCGGTTATAAGGCGGGCTTTACAATTGCGACTGCGCTGCTTGGCACATATCCAATATTTACGTGACTTCACCTTTTTGGCGCATATATACGAATAACCATCACAGATCATCTTACGAGCGCCACGTTGCCCCAAAACATAACGAATAGATTGTATGCCACAAATATCAGAACCCTCTGTAATGAAAATAACTAAAAATCGAATTAAAATGATTAAGTATGTATAACAGAGTGGACAAATGAATTATAATATTATAGATTTAAATTAAATAAATAAATATATTCAAATAAACAATCGATAACATGTGAAAAACCTAACATGAAATCGAAATATGTACTCGTATCAAACAATTTAACTTATTTTAGCACTGGAAAAAATGCACTACACTCCATTTATTTGTATTTTCAATATATTTTACTGTCATTATTCTATAGTCATATGCTTCTAAACTTTTTTTCATTAATATCATTACAGTTCTTTTTTGAAATCCTTGCGATTATTTGCGGAGCCTGGAAGCGGCGGGGGTGGTGGATGGTTGTGGCTTTGATTTTTGATTAGCAAAGCGCCAGTCTTAGAGCAAGTGATGATGCGCGCACGGCAACGATTGTCACGATTCTTTGCGCACAGCCAGTAAGTTTTGGGGCCTTTGCTGTTATTGCGAAAGTATGCAAAGCCGGCGAATAACAATTTCGGTTTTCCTTTTTTGCCTTGTGTAATCATTAAGCCGCATTTCTTCGCTAAAGACTCCAAAGCTGGAAATAGAAATCAGTAATAAAAAAACATGTGTCAATAAAAACTTCATTAAATTTCAAATCATTGTAACTAAAGATTAGAAAAGTGAAAGCGTTATAGTTAATATTAAAACTCTTGAAAAGTCAGCATATTTATATTTTTAATTATGTTTATGTAAGTATATATGTATAGCAAGTTATTCAATAAATAAATTATAATAAAAATACTATATAATATTTCAACTCTATTTTAATTATGGGCAATAAAATCTTCAGCGAGTATTATTTATATATTATGATTTACGCTTTATTTATTTAAATTTTGTTAAATTGAGGAAAATTCATTACAAAACTTTTCATTTATAATTTATATACATACATATGTACATCATTTTTAACATCAACTCACCAATGAATGAGGTAATAATAACGCTCAATACGAATTATTAAAAAATTGTATTAGTATCTTCCATTAAAGAGCGTTTCATTACTGTAATCCACACACTGTTGAACTAAAAACTTTAAATTTCGAAAAAAACAGAACGTATTGTATTCAAATTGGATAAGGATAGTAACAAATTCATTATTTATAAGTTCTACATACCAGCAAATACATCAAATTTCTCACACCGTATCAAACAATCAATTTATTCATATTTAGTTAGAGTATGTTTTAAGCCACAAAACTATAAATGTAAGCCAATAAAAAATCTTGAGATATATATGTATATTGGCGAAAGCCATACGCATTATTTTTGTTATATACGCAAATTTTGTGAATCAATTAGGATCGTAGTATTTGTCTTTTATATATTTTTATTAATATCATTTTCTGAGAAAAACTATTTAGCGGGCAAACATCAATTTACTCGTGCGAATGTTCGGCATTCCGTAAGACGTAACGTTCTACACCATTAACCATTCGTGTTGTAGCTCGTGCCTTACATTTAGCACTTTTGTACCGGGCACAACGCCAATTGGTGCTCTGCTTCAGCATGCGATCGATAACAAATTCAAATGAGTTAATTATCAACTTTTTACGCTTCTTCTTGGTATTTCCAAATGATGCTAGCGCAGAGAGCGGCAATGTAGTTTTGGATTTCTTGCCTGTAAAGATTGAAAGATTAAATTAGTATATGGCAATGATGTTTAGTCTATATCCAAGATAATTAGAAATATAGTACAATAAAAAAATTTTTAATTGGTAAACTGTTGTTGCAAAAAAAACACCGTTTTTATTTTAAGTTTCATATCATTTCTTTATCAATTGCTTTAAATATACCTTAGACTCACCTTCTCATGTGTATTTATTAAACATATGTGTTTTATTTAGCTATTAGTCCAGTTACATTTTTTAAGGACCAAACAAGTTTTAAATAAGTACAATTAATATATAATATATTACTTATTACTTTATTCCTTAAATATTGTATTGATATTTATTGTTTGTTTATATAAATAGCTCGTATAGAAATTTTAAATTTCTGCTCTAGTATGTTTGACAATTTCGCGATGAAAGATATATTATTGTAGTTAATCCCATTTTCCTACAACATAACCCCTAAATATTATTGCACTTACTACTCGCCCCCACTTCTTGACCATCATTTTTACATGGTAAATATTATTTGTTATGAGTTTCTTCTAATTAGCACTCCCGTCCCGAGGTATATTGTTTGTGTCAATAACAAAGAAGACTAATATTTTGTATCGTTATTGTTGGGCGTATACTACATTCCCTCTAGCATCACCCTCGTACTTCGGCAAACGACTTCCTTTTTCTCTAAATTCTGAACATCGTTTTTGGTATTTTTTTTTTTAATTTGAAATCTGTAATTGAAAAAAGAAACACTTATTAATATGGTAAAATTTGTTTGTTTGACATATTTTTAAATTAAGTACCTCTAGCATTTTCCGAAAATTATTTTTGAAGACGAAAATTTTTACAAACATGTGTGTACTCTGCAGCCCTCTAAGAAATATATCATATAAAGTAAATTCACTTCTCTGAAACGTAATTCCAAAATATCATTAAAAATTATAGTTATATGAATATTATATGTTTCTCTCTAGGCACTAAATATATTGTATCAATGTGTTATTATTATTTTTAATATACATGTCTCAATTTGCACATATTCTCACTTTTCTGCAAAAACTATAAGGTTTAAAAACTATAGAAAAAACACAGACTAAAATTATATGATATTTGATGCTTTGTATATAATACAAATCATTCAATTCCAATTTCTCAGTAACACAACTGTTGGTTGTAGGGATTACGACCCCCTCTATATCCAAACTATAAACGCCTAGGCTAGTTTTACATTGGTGCCTTTAAGTATCAGTTTAGTTATCTCTTCGGAAATGTGATTTCCTCTCCATTAGGGTGTTCGCGTTATGATTGTGTAAACTTTTATGTACAATGCGCCCATTCTCAGTGTGTACCCGGCCGTGACATTTTCGTCGCGTTGTATATTGTGTACACCTCCAATATACCTTATTTCGTATTCGCTTTTCATGCACATAATGAAATCCTCTATGTACTAATAATGTCCGTCCCTTTTGGCTTGAAATGTAATGAATATCTGAAGCATCATCGACATCTATAGACCGATTTATATTTTTAACATTATTTACGGGGGCTTCAAACGATGTTGTGCCTGCAATTGAAATTAAGAGCAATCATTATAGTTCCTTAAACAAGATTGTATATATTGTATAATGCGCTAATAGCATGTACTAGTTGCAGGTAAGAAAAAATATTAAACTCTCACCATTTTCATGAAATTTGTATCACAAAAACGTGCGTGATCAAGCAACAAACGCCTCTATTTACATAATTCTCATTTCTATTCTATTTTATAGCATAGTACAAATATATATGTATATAATATCAATAAAATAGAGACAGTGTTCATTGAACTAAACTGCAGTTGAAATCACCGGCATATTTTTGTTTAAATGGATGTTAACTTTTTTGTTTTTGCTGTTAGGCATTCTACTGATGTTGCTGACGTTGCAGCGTGGAGCTGCTGATACTTTGTGTTAGAATTTCTATTTTAACATTTCCATCAACTTCCACATCATGTTCCTCATCACCCTTCATAGCTGTCACACTGTAACACTGTTGATTCAGTTCCTGTTGATGATGATCGTACTGTTGCTGTTGTTGGTGATGATGATGTTGCTGGTGCTGCGCCTGTTTGCTCGATCCATATTTGTTGCGCTTTAGCTCTGCATGAATATGCTCCGCTTTGTTGATGATGAACTTTGGAGGACTCCCTTTTATCATGGTGATCCGTGCTGGACACTTAATTTTCTTGGTTGCCATCGAACTACAGCGCCATAGTATCTTTTTCTTATTTTCACTCATTATTAGAAAACGTACGCCGTTGGCCATTATGGCGGGTCTACCGCGCAACGATTGCGTGAAAAAGACTAGCACATCTTCAGGGTTTGGCACCACATCATTGGCAAGAACGACTGCAACGCATCACGTTTGGATGTTGGCGTATATATGAAAATATAGAGAAAAAATAGTACACTTTGTTAGTAATTATATCTAAATAGTGCATAGTTTACTTTTTTACTTTTTAATACATTCCAAGTGTTAGCAAACGAATATTTTAATATGCCTAAATGTTTATTAATACCACAACAGCTACAATATGAAATTTGTTTTCATTTCTTTTGTTTTACATGAACTTTAATAATGTACAGTTATAATTTTGCGAATTTTAAATTGTGAGCATTTCCTGCTCATTATCAATTTCCACATCCGCCACAGTTTGGATATTGATTGTCGCCAAATGAGGTGGAAGTGCGTTTGCTATTTCCAGTGGAGCGACATTTGTACCGTGTTGCTTCTTGCTGGACTTCACATGACGATGTTTATGAATTTGACGAAAGTCACTGCTGTCATATTTATTCATGCAAATCAATACGGGACAACGAATACGCCTACAATAAAGAGAAATAAAGAAAGTTAGAATTATTTGAACAGAGCAAACTTAAAGTTGCACTGTAGATGTTCCATTTACCTGTAGTACCAGTGGCAGCGCCAGAATAAATTCGTACGGTTCTCATTATTGCGAAAATATTTGAGTCCATCCAACCAAAGCAACTGGCCACCACGTTTTGAGACGGAAAATTGTATCTTTGGTTGTTCTGCGTTGAGTTGGCATTCTTAGATGTGTGTTGAAGGCAAGTTAGTAAAAGAAAAGAGATTTATATATGAATAGAAAGTGTTAATTTTAGTTTTCTTAGTTAAAGTTACAGCACAAAATTTGAAGGAAAGAAAAGTTTCACACGAAATTTATGAAATATGCCATCATGCTTTACAACTTCGATGGACAGTTTTTATTTATATTTTTGCTTTTTTTTTTTTGATTTTGTATTCATACGTACTTTTAAAGAAAATTTTGCTTTAACAACAACAACGCGCATCCTATCGTAGAAAAACAGATTTGCTGCAAAGACTTTCAAGTAAAAGTTCGCAAATTTGCTTTTTGAAATTTAAATTTCTGCTTGTAAGACACGTCGTATACAATATCATACTCATATTACTAAATTTATAATATTTTAGCTATATGTAATTAAAAATAATTTTTACAAGAACTCTATATTTTGGTATAGCGATACATCTACACTCCACTTCAGATGTATTCTATGATGCTTTCGTATGCCAGAATATAAAACAATCGCCATATTTTTGGCTTAAATTTCATTATGCGCTTCTCAACATATATTCTAAACCTTAAGATCGTCTATGTCATCGTGCAACGAGTCAATATGACCCTCATCGAGTAGTGCACAGTCTTTGGGTAGAAAAGGTTTAATTTCAATATCATTGCTGGTTACATGTTTATGCTGATGGCATAAACGTAAATTTAACGTTGTCTCATCGTATATCGCAATGGCGGGACATTTCTCTTTGTAATAATTACTGCACTTCCAATACTGGCGGGAACCACGTTTCTTGTTACGAAAGAAGCGAAATCCATTTATAACCAACAATTTTCCACCATTCTTTTTCGAATCAATAAAATCGATTTGAAAACCTGTAAAAAAAAAAATAACAAACGGTTAGTAGGATATACTAATTAACTATAAATAAAAAATTTTATACGAAATACAAATACAAATATTACCATTATGTAGTGCACTAAAGCTATATAGAAGTAAAATTCATTAAAAACTTAACCAAGTAAAGTTAAACTCACAGTGTGCGCTTATAGTTCAATGTGGCTAAAGTTATTATAGCTATAAGCTATAACTAGCTTTTAATAATACAAAAAAAAATGTAAAAATATATCTTCATTGTGAAATCGACTTTGAGCAAACTAAAATTAGTAGTTGGGACATTCGATTTTTTGCTAAGATTTATAAATCAAAAACGTTTGATACAAACAATATGTTTATTGTAGTTATATATAATAAAAAATAACGTTGTTGTACAAGCGTATTTTTGCCCATAGTCTTTTTTCTAAATATTTTAATTGTATTATAAAAAATTATTGAATTAAATGGCATGAATGTTCAAAGCGATTACTCAACATACATAAAAAACTATGTATGTAATATAAACTTAGCTGACGTTTATGCATTTGTATTGCATTTTCCACATGCACCGCCATTGCCGTTATTAAGTAGTAAGTAGTTTATAGTCGAAATTATTCCTCCTTCACAATCGAATGGTTGTGCACGCCTTTTATAACGCAACGTGTTGGCGCCGCGAAACTAGTGATTGCACGTGCCTTACAGTTGCTATGCCACTTTGTGCACTTCCAATACACCTTCGTGCCGTAGATGTTGTTTTTGATGAAACGATGACCTTCATATGACAGTAGCTTGTTGCCTCTCGATGTGGTGCTATATTTGATAGCGCCCCAGTCATCCAAGGTACGATTTTCCAGAAACGACGGTTTACGTTTTGACAAGCCAGTTTTAACTTTAAGCGTTTTGCCTTCGACGCTAATATTTTTTGTATCGTGCAAGGTCGTAAATATTGGCAAGAAACTCTCATCGCTGCAAGGCATCTCAAATTTACAATTCGTTATGCTATACTGAAAAGTTCTCATTGAATCTGAAATTAACAGCAAAGACAAAGAAGAGACAGTGACCGTTATAGAAAAGGAACACAAATTACTTCAATTAGTATTTATAACAAATATATGAACAGAGCAATCTTAATCTGTAATTTTTACAATCATAAATACAATTATTTATTCAACATCCTAAATACATTTAAACAAAAATTATAACTTTAACCGATCAGCTAATACATTTTATTTGGGAACACAACTTCTAACTGCGCAACGACATAAGATCTTTAAGAAAAAGTTCAGTTCGCTGCACTCCAGTCTGATTACGAGGATATTTTCGTGTGTGATTATGTTCGAAAGTGCGATGAAGTATGCGTTCAGTGCCTTGCTTATCACGCGCTGTCACCACGCGTGCCCTACACCAAGTAACGTCCTGTGGAAAAACAGAAGTCAAACTTACCAAATAACCACAAATTGTTCGCAAAAGGAAGCATTTTAGGTAAGTAAGGATATTAAGAATAAATTGCCTTTTTTGAGCAGATCCAGTAGGTGCGCGTGCTTGATTTGCGATTCTTCACGAACTTTTGATTTCCATAAACGAGTACTGTGCATCCGCGTTGGCCGGTACTGAAAGTAGCGATTTCTGCAAAATTTAGTATAAATTAATATCATTAACTTTTATGCTTATGCGATGAGTAAATGTGAATAGAAGCATCCTATTACAATATTCCGTACTCGAATTTGAGAAGCGTTAAACACAAACGGCTTAGCAGAAATATAACATTTGGTGTTTAGTTTTGTATGTATGTGCTTGAAAGTGTATTTTCAATAAGTCTTTTGGTTTTGCAATTTAACATGCATTGAAGTAATCTATAGTTCACAACGAATATTAATTTCTTTATGTGAAAGCTGCATTGGGCGCAATGTTCAAGATTTCGTTTTTCATATGTACTTCAACGCATTTGTTTGAATCGGCAATACTACTTAAAATTGTGCTCGCTGACTGCTCTATCGATGTTTTGCGCTTTTTGCGTGCTACTTTTTGTGCGTGATTGTGTCGACAAGACTCCAACACAATTTTCTGCACACCATCAACAACATCAGTGACCACGCGTGCATTACACTTGGTGCTGCCCTATAAACAGAATCAAAAACAATTAAAAATGTAGTGTAGGAATGCCGAAAATATATTAACACTTACCTTTTTCGCACATATCCAATAAGTCTTCAGACCGCTACGTCGATTTCGTACATAATTGTAACCCTTGAAAACTAGTAAGGTGCAGCCACGCTGTCCCAACGTGAATGAGAGCAAGCTTTCACGCACACTCATGTCCGCTAGTTCATCTGCAAGAAACGAAATAAATAAGTATACAATATAAAAAACTACATTTTTACAAATTGCATGACTTTTTACTAACTGTTTATACATACATTAGAACAATGACGCCATTAATTTTGGTTATTTGACTATTAATGTTTTCTTTTTCTTTGTCGGTCAAAAATTGTATTCATATATTTAGCTTTAAATTTATTTGCATTCTTCTCTAATGAAATTAAAATAAAATAAATTAATTCAGTTCAAAAAAAATATCCATCTAAGTGAAGAAACAAAATCTGTATTTTATTCCTTGCTGCGGTTTGTTGTGGCTTAAAATGGCGGGTGATTATGTTGCTCGCATTTGACTATAACATCGTGTCGGCAATCCTCATCTATCGTCACAACGCGCGCTTTACACTTGTGTATACCTGCGCGTGCGCAGGACCAGTACGTTTTCGAGCCAGACGATTTGTTGCGCGTAAAGCTATAGTCGCCCACCTTCAGCTTGCGGCTACCACGAAATCCCGTTATATAGGAAAAGTAATTAACTGTTCGGTCTGCAACGAAATAGAAGAATAAAACATAAATAATACGATTAGTAAAATATTATATCAGTTTGGCTTAAAATCAATGATTCAATATCTTCAATTATAAATACAAGTCTGCTGCATAGTTATTTATGCGGAACAGATAAAGTTTTCCATATATTTTAGATTTTTTTTTTTTGAAAAAATGTTTATTGCTTGCATGTCGATAGCATATTGTTGTCATTTATAGATAGTATTCTTATTATTATTGTTATTTAATGTACTAAATGTAACATAAATTGAAGAAGAACTTCTTAAATTCAAAATGAACCGTAGTGAATGGCGTTGATACACCTACAATAATACATTTGTTTTTAGTCCGAAATATTCGTTTCAGTTCTGCCACTGGTTAAGGTATATGTGCCTTTACTATATGTTATTGTATCGCCAGTGGTGGTAAGGTTTACCTTGCCAGCAACCGGAGTAGTATTATTTGATGACATTGCAGCTGCCGCCGCTGCAGCTGCTTTAAGTGATCCATACTTTCGAGCTTTTGTAATAACCTCGTGATTATGTTCACTATTCAACACCGTTAATGTGTTTCCCTTTGTCTTGATACGCGCACGGCAACGCAATACAGCAAATTGGCTACAGCGCCAATATGTGACCTCTTCACGGCTAACGTGCCGATTGAATGTGTGTTGCTTCAGCACCAGTTGCCTTGTACCATATTTGCTCACTACAAAAACGGGACCCTCAAAGGCGTTATGTGTATGCAGTTGCTGTATAGGTGCCCGTTCGGTTGGCTCATGTAGAATTGTTGGTTGTAAATAGATCTCCTCTTCATATATATCTTTATCTGTAAGTGAAATAGTTGCGAAATCATGTATTAGTCCGGATGTAAAAGAGAATTGGGCAAAAAAAAAAAAATAGCAACACATGTGTGAATTTTATATAAAATAAAGGGATAGCATATTTTAGGTAAAGTTTAGCTTTAATTAAATGTATTTTTAGTGAACTACTGTTTATTTATTTTTTTTATCATAATTTGCTTATGTGTTTCTATGTAAATCCTTTGTTTAGTTATAAAATTTGAAATATGATTTCAAGACGAGTACTTCTTCCGGCAAGCAGGCGTGTGGGACGCTCCAATCAAGACAAGACCACCTTTCAGTTCGTCAATGGTTATATTGGCGGGACAATTAGGCGTGATGCAATACCAATGACTATTGTATGCTCTTGAACGTAATAATTTGTATTTTACTCCTCTCAATATGAGATACCTAAATTGGTTTTCCGTGATAATAATGGCTAAAAGAAGAAAGATAAATTGCTGGCAATTAAAAAATATATTAATCAGCTTTATATTAGATTAACTTTTTTAATACAAATTTATTATGTAATTCAAAATATTTGAACTTGTTTTAAACTAGTACAGTGCAGAGAAACTGTTTGAACTGATATATAATTAATAATTTCGTCTATAAACTATTAATTTAAATTAACCCTGAAAATCTTATAAAAAAAATCGTAATAAGTTTTCCTTTGTTAAATATAATAAATATATTAGTATTTACGAAAGGTTTTTTGTTAAATTTGTTTACAGTTATTTTCAGTAGACTTTATTATTCAGTACTTAAATAACCATACGATAATACTTAAGTATGTAGGAATATACGAGTATATATGTTAAGCTGTAAAATGTTGATGAATACTCTGCTTCACTTATAATGTCAGAGCAAATTCTGCTCTTGATAATGCCTTTGATGGCATCGTTTCAGGCGTAAACTTCGGTGGGTGATTGTGTGGATGTTTGCCCAATTTAATGGAGCCATCCCACTTGGTAATGCAGCGGGCAGTACATTTGTTGTCCGATACACGCCTGCCATTACCTCTGGAACAAATCCAGTTTATCGTAGAACGAAAACTGGCTTCTTTCTTATACATAAACCCGTTGAAAATTAGATTATAACCCTGCTTTTGATTGCGCATGTATAGTACCTCTTGATTTTCCAACCATACACCTAATGGAAAAGGCATTGCATATATGACGGCATCCCTTTTCTGTGACACATTTTCACCATCTCTGCACTCCAAACTCACTGCAATTTGAAATTAAATTAATATTACAAGTTAATAGGTATCGGTAGACATTTTTAAATTGTTAAGCTATATTAAAAAAAAAAAAAAAACAATTACATTTCTTATAATATTAAATTTTATTTTTGGTTTAGTTGAAATTGTAAACAATCATCAACGTATTGCGTCTGCATTATATACATTTCCGGTTCCACGCTTTCGTCAGCGTCTGTCGCGTCACGCCGAAAACGATCATCTGGTGTCGTGTTTGGAGAGTTTGAATCGTCTGTATTAAAATGGGGCTGTCGTACGGATAGTTTAACCTTTGAACCTAAGTCGAGTTCTTTCAGATAGGTTGTTTTCATTTCATTGCAGACTCTACGTCCCCACTCGATTTTCTCCGATTCCTTGCCATGCGTGTGCATGCCGCACACACGTACATAACGCTTCGGTGAGAAAATTAGACGAGCTCTACACTGATGCTTCGTACAACGTAGGCAGCGCCAATAACGTCCACGATTCTTTCGGTATAAGTAATTGTTGAGCACTATTAATGGATGTCCACGTTGACTATAGATGAATTCCAAATCAGCAGCGTCATATTCGGGATTTGCATCTGAAACCAAGTACTCTTAATTAAACCTATGAATGTATGCAAAAAAATAAAAATAAATATGTTGCAAAAAAAACAAATCCACAGCACATACCATGCATGTTAATTTTCAAATTCAAAAAAAGTATCTCTATTATTTATTACGAAGTATATACATATGTATGTAGGCACGTAAATAAATACATGTTTATTCTACGACTAGTTACATTTTTTAATTATAAGCTAATCATATACTAAACGATTAATTTCAGCCAAGTCGATATGATACAGCGTAGGTATTGCTGCCTTCACATTCGCCTCGTGTTGCCCTCGATTGCAGCAATAACAGTTTTCCATAATTTTGTTTTCTAATAATATTTTCTCAGATCGCCGACGATGGACATTTTCCAAATGTTTTATTGTATTCCAATTAAAAACATATTCCAATTCATTATCACGTTTTAATAGTTTCACATTTATTATTGTCGCTATTTGATCAACGTTCGGGGTCATTGCCAAATTAATTGCAGGATAAAAAACATAATAAATCATAACCAAAAGATACGACATAACATTGGTAATGGATAATGCCAAATATTTGTTTGGAAAATTTTGAAAACCCAGCAGCTTTAACGGTGCAAGAACCCAAAATATATACAAAGCAAACAGCAGCACTGAACACAAATAGCAAGCGAAGCCCTGTATTGCCCGATAAGGTGTTGGTGCGGGGTTCGGCATTATGGGAAGAACAATTGTTACCACAACTTTGACTGATAACATTAAAATACAATCTAATTTTTGACATTTCTGGCGAAAAACAATTGAACAAATATAAGATTTCAAAAAATATGAAGTTAACAAATGTGGTTTTATACCCAACACATTTTTTTATTTCTTCTCGTACATTAAACATTCGCATGCTTGACATTTGTTTATGAATGTAATCAGAATTACTCTATATATATGTATATGTAAATATATACATATATTTACGTAAGTATACTTATATAATATATTATATATTAATTATATTAGATAATTTGTGTAATCATTATAATTTCGTTTGTGGAAATTTAATTAATATTGATATTATATTATATTTTATTATCACCTTATAAAACGAATAATTTAGCATTTTATACTGCATCTAAAGTTTGATATTTTAAATACAACGGACATTGTTGGAGCATCATCCTTTGGCAATGATCAATTTTTCATTGCGGTAGTTTAATTACCTTACTCGGGCTTAGCCTTAACACGATCTGTATAATTCTCGGGGATATAACTAAAAGCAATGTTAATTCCCTCACTTTTCGTAATTTATCGGCAAGAAGAAAGAAACTACAAGCAATAATACTACTTCATAAAATCAGTTGGAGTAAATGCTATGGCGGACTATTGTTTATTTTAATTACACATATTTAGACACTATAGCAGGACAACAGGAATAAATAACAATTAAAATAAATGAAGTGGTAAGAAACTTTTCAGTAAAAAAATATTTATTAAAATGGAAATTGGAAATTTTTTATAATGGATATAATGGATGAACCAAAAAGCGTACTATGCGAAAGTTTAAGAGACATTTAATTTATTTATTTACATTACAAATATATTACATATAGTATAGGTATATAACATAGGGGTTTTACAAATTGCGATAAACATCAAGAAGGAACAATGCCGCCATCATATGCATAACCACTATACTTAAGTTTATGAGACATATAACTGATATCTCTTTTATTTTTATATTTTTAGAATTGTGATATTTATTTAATAAGTGATATGTAATTAATTTACATCAAATATTTTGTACTCAACGAGCAAAAGTACGTTGTACGATTTAACATTAAATATGGAATCAGTTTATACTTAAATATTGCGCCATATTAGCAAACTGCATACAGACAATTTGCTAATACTCTATTAAAAATTATATATACATACATATATGGTGCACATAAATTCCTACTAGGGAAGTTAAAAAATTAATAGGTGTAAATAATATTCATTACTCACTTGGATGATTTTAGAAATTATCAGCAATTTTTGTATATGAATTTCCATTCATAAAAATCAGATACTATCATTATTATCTCCATTTTATTTTATTGTTGTACTACTTAATCTTCTAGTACCAAAGCCTATCCACCGAAATACACACGAAATACACATAACACAGTTTAACATACTATGGATATTTTCAAGTAAAACTTTTTGTATAGATAATAACACAGAACTTATATTTTTAGTTTCACAAAATATACCATATATATAGAACAAAATGCACAATAACATTATTTTATAAGCAACGAAAAATGCGGCGAATATAGTTAAACGATAATTGCGAAACAATATACGCTTCAAAATGGCGTTTCGAAGTACAGGTATGCATCAAAATATACGATTTAGGGCTTACCGTGAAGAGAAAGTTCTTGTAGCCGTAATAATAAGTATTTTGATGCTTCTACAAAATATTTGCTTAAATCAAAATATTTTAAAATTTTTTTTGTAAATTAATATCTATTTAGAAAATAGTTATAAGTTGATATTATAAATGTGTACCTCTCTAAAAAAATTGTATCGACTTCATACGAATTAAAACTAATGAGGTATGCAACCCTATAAACCCCGAATGACGCGTGACACAAACAAAATTTTACCCATCCCACACAAAAATAAATAAATTTATATTTAATCCTCACAATTAGTGATTTTGTTGTTTTATTTCATGAGTAGCTTATATTATTATAAATTTATTTATATACTCAAATGTGGTTCTATTGTAATATTCAATATATTTAAATATTATTTCAGCAAACTTATTAGAGTCGGAATCGGCATGGATTGAAACTCGTCCTTTAAAAGGAAAACGTGGACGTCGTCCTAAACAACCGAAAAAGGATGAGCGGTTGGCACACAGAGTATTAGCTGCTGTACAACGTGGGCGTGGGGAACCTGCTTTATATGCCTCTACAACCAAAGGTGGCATGAAACTTATCTACGAAGGACATCATTTTCGATTCACATTCCGAAGGGGTCCATACTCAATTTTTCAATGTTGTTATAAGGAGAATATGCAGGAATGTAAAGTTCGGGTTGTTACTGATCAGAAACGTGTTTTCCCCCTGGATGGAGAACATATCCATTTCATGCAGGCCACAGATAAAAGTGTAACATCTATGACTTTTGAACCTGATGGTCATTTAGACGATGAAGATAGTCAGGAACAACCTGAACAAAGTGACGCCTTCGATGAGTATGAATTACAGGTAACTGATTCAGTACAGACCAATGAGCCACGAAGAATGGAATTGGATCATTCGGAAGAGTTTTTGGCAGAGCCAAACGATGATACACCTGCTTCCTCCGACACAAATGATTTCAGAGAAAAAATAAAGCGACGCTTGCAAAAAGCACTTTTAGGCAAAAAGAAATAATATTACAATCCGAATCATTTGAAATCAATTATATACAAATGTATATATTTTTATATTATAGATTATATAAACTTCTGTATACAGACATTGAATAGCAAGTGCCTTAAGTGGTAGTATAGTGCATAAGAACATGAAGAAAATTAATAAAAAAAAAAAATATAAGTGCCTATATACTGGATTTTAATATAGTACAGGACAAGCAGCTTTGGCGGTTATATACATATACTTATGAACTAATATTTTTTTCCAATGTTTATTTACAGTAATGCAACATGTACGTAACTGTGGTCCGCAAATGTTTATTTACAGTCGTAAGGGTGGCACTCTGTTGGCGATAAATGATTTTATTTATCGCTCAAATTTAAAGCGTTTTGGAAGAAATAGTGACAAGGTATACTGGGAATGTATTCACAATCGTTCCAAAAAATGCCGAAGTCGTTTAAAAACTATTGGGGATGATCTTTACGTTACGAACGGTAAATATTCAGTGTTTAATTTAAAACTATTAATAAATGTAAATAATTTTCCTCAAGATGTTCACAATCATATAGGTGATGGTCAACGCATTGCTACGGCGAGACGCGCCGGTTTATTAATTTATAAGAAATTCAGTTCAATAGGACAAAATGTGGTAAAATTACAATGTAATACGATCTCTTAAAAAAGTTAAATATGTATGTACGTTTGAAATGTTTAATGTTTTTAGTTTATTTGTATAGACAATATACTTAGATAGACATACATATATTATTTTTACATTAATAAACTACAGACCATATCATAAACATTTTAAATTACATATTTACATATGTGGCTCAGATTCAAAGCAGTTAATTTATTGCTAAATACTTAAAAAGTGACAATCGATTTTGTGGTGCCTGTACCACAATATAAATATAAAAAATTACTTATGCATATATATATTATGAAGTTCAGATAAAACTTAAAATGTGATTGCCTTTTAATACATACATATAATTTTTCACGTTTCAAAAGTTATGCACGCGATGTAGTTATGATTTATATCCTATTTTCATTAATTATATTGATGATTTCAATTTGTATTAAAGCGAACGCCTTATATTTTTTAAACCCATCCAAATACCACTAAGTTATTTATACTCGTAAAAGAATATATGTATGCATGCTTGCTTAGGGCTATCCAGAAACAACTTAAGTAAATTTATCTCGACTTAGGTTTTTGTTCAGAAGCAAGTTGATTAAAAGTATGACGCATCAAAATTATTTTCAATGCTGTTTCGTGATAAGATGAGTGATTTTAGACATTTCAATGTATAAAATGGTTAGCGAATTTCGTACATTTATTATAATGAATGAGTAGTTGGCAGTATATTACTTAATTCTATGAGCACATCAATAAATTATAAATTGATGCTCCCATTTAAATAAATTATATGATTAATTTATTCTTTTTTAAAAATAAAAATAATCATTCGTATCCGCTTCGAATTTGAAGAATCTTAACATACTTTTGGAGTATTAATTCTTTTTCTAAGGAGGGCTGTTAATATAACACCCATTCGGTTGCATATTTGACTTTAATTTTCTATATTGCATAGATGCAGTGGCTGCGATGGCGCTTGGGGTTACTACTGGCAATGCTTTGTGCCATAAAAATGCTGCTGATGGTGTGTTATGCTGACCGTGAAATTGAACATGTGGTGCTGGTCCGGTTTCAGTATATATTGGCGCACCTAAAGTATCTTTACGTATTTCTTTGACACCACTTTCTACTTTGATACTTTCACACATGTCATTGTAAGCATCAGATAAAACAGTGCTCATATGTGGAGCTTTTGTTTGACAATACATCTGGCAGGCTGATAGTATCTCTCTGTGACGCCTTTTGATATGACTAAGAAAGTTGCCTGTAGACTTTGTAGTCCCTGATATTACACCTAAGCATGTTGTGCATGTTGCTTGAATTCCTCCAAAAGTTTTCCGATTCGGCTGAACGTCTTTATAAAATTTCCCATCCAGTAGTTTTGGTAATGTCAATGGCTTTGTAACTAAAATTGAGATAAAGTAAATTTTAGTATATTATTATGTAATTGAAATAATAACAATACAAACATTTTTCTAATGTATACGCTAAAAGAGTTTGTAAATATCAAACAACTTTTTAAATTTCATTTAATGTAACACAATATTTTTTTATAAACTTGTGAAAAGCATATTCTTATTAATTTTCTAGGTGCTTATAAGTCAGAAATAATTTATCGTGTTTATTGTACTTATCTATTGCACTTAGAATACATATATTACAAAAATACAATAGCATTTTGTTCCGTAAATGATTGCCAGATCCATTTCCTAAATTTTTTATTTAAGATCGCTTAGTAATGAAACCATTCTTAACAAGCTTCCTTTTGATTCATCAATGAAATCGGGTGAAATTTCTACAAGATTATCTGTTTTCATTTCTGGATCATGCGTATGAGGTGAACCAGTTACTCGTATAGCCGACACATCATCATGCAGCTTTGATGTGACAACAGTCGCTCTACATCCATACTTAACGTAACGGGAACATCGCCAAAATATATTTTTATGACTTTGGCGATTCTCTACATAGCGATATCCGTTATAAATAAGCATAACACGTCCACGCTGTGTAGTAGAGTATTGTAAATATGTTGTAGTATTTTTGTCTTCATATATATACTTCAAATCTGAAAAATAAAAATTATTTTAAATTTTTATTAGTGTTAAATAATACGTTATAATTACAATGTATAATTAAGCATAATATTATTTTATTATAATATCTGTATCATTTATACGCCGTTTCATGTCGTAATGTAAGATGTGCTAAAAAATTGTTCTTTATTTATTTAAAATTATATATTATATAAAGATTATAAACACAATGAACTTATTATGGATTGACCTGAGAACTGCGTTCAAACAAGGAATTGTTTTTAACATTTGGTTGACCTGCCGTTGGCGGTGTTACATTTGACATGTTCCTAATTTTGTGTTGTATAAATGAAAGCACTGTGTTGTCGTCAATGGTTTCTCCTCTCATTGAAAATACCTGGACTACGTGAGCTATTAAAGATACTAAGGTTATTAATATACGAAAAATATAAAAATGGTAATTTACTTATTATAGATTTCAGCAAATTTTCTTCAAGCATTAGAAGTCGTTGTTTAGCATTTGAACGTGCTATATTTTCCAACACATCTAAACCAAATACCAGTTCACTTAACCGGGAAGTATAAATACAGGCGTTTGGTATAAAAATTTTTGCTAAATCCTGTTTAGATACGTAAACTCTACTGCCAGCATGCAATGGGATTTTAGCCTCAGCCGATTTATTTGAAAGTTTGTTGATTTCGTTGTTGTTATGTGTGTGTATATTTTTGTCTGTAAAATAAGCATAATACAAATAATGTAATTAAAAATTTGTATAAACTTTATGCAAAAATTATGGAAATAATTAAAAACAAATTCATAAGAGGGAATAGGAAAATTTATTTTTATATTTATTTAAATTATAATGCTTCAGTTCACAATATACATTTAATTTAAAATTTCATAAATTTCCAATTTACGCAGCCTTCAAATGTAATTCACGCAAGTTGATAGTACAGGCCTTGACCATGCTTCACACCAATAGCTTCATTTCACTTTCAGATTTTTAAATTCACTCCTACTATTTTCGAGACCGTTAATGGTGGATAAATTCCACAAATATTTGCCTAAAATCACAATTAAAAAAGTTTATTCAATAAAATTTACACTATTATTAATTTAACATAGTTTACTTCTGAAGCTGTCCCAATATATTTGTTGTCACATGAAATAAGTAACAATACCTATTTATCGATATGCGTCAAAGTCGATGTGTCTCAATTTATCGGTAAGGAAATTATTAAAGAGCCTTAAAAATATATATTCAAATTGAGAAAATGTAGTTAAATTAATATTTGATTTTATTGTATTATGTCTCCCTGTCTTACTATATGTATGTTATTTTTTAACAGAAGTGAAATAGATTAAAAAGCATACTTTGCACTTACCCCAATAACTGATTTTACTGATTAACATAATAACAATTTAAAATGACTTGGAAACAATGGTCATGAAAAATTAGGCAACTCTAAATGTCGGCGATACCTTAATTATTTGTTGTAGTGCATGAGAAAAAGATGCGTGTTTAAAAAATAGTATCTAAAATGTAATACTGAAACTGAATTTAGTAAAGTTCCAAATAATAATACTTGAGTTTTAAATATGTGTAAATCGTTCGATTAATAAATTACTTATTGGTATCGAATGATATTTTTTAGTATACAGTGTTACTACTTTACGTTTGATTGCAAAAGCGTCCTAAATAGTGTGCTAGAAATGTTTGGAACAATTTGCAGCTTTCTATATCATAAATCAAGAAAAAAGATATTTGGTGGAAGTTATAGAAATGTTATGACAATAATAAAAATACAAAAATGTCAATTTTATAACTATAGTATATGAAGAATGTTTAATGTTAATATATTTATTGTATAAGCTAGTTTTGGATAAATTGTGCTACATACATAAATGGAAATTCGTTTGCTTTTTTTCAGAATATGGACCAATTAATACTTCAAATGGCTTATTTTGTGTGGAAATTAACAAATTGCAACAGCGCAAACAAAAATATGAGGATCTCGATGTATGCTTTACCAGAAGTGTTCGCGGGAATAACTTGCTAACTATCAACGGCAAGCCGTACACATTGAATCGACGAATAAAGGATGTTTGTTACTGGGAGTGTGTAAAACTGCGATGCAAATACACGAAATGCACAGCGCGTGTAATCACGAAATGTGATCAGATTGCATCGTTGCGTGGAGATCATAACCATTTATAAACATGTGTAATTATTTAGTGAATACTTGAAAATAAACTTAGTATGTTAGTAATAGGCTGTGTTGGAACGTGTTATATGTATTGGAGATATTATTCTTCTAATTGCTGTGACTAACAAACTTGAAAAATTACAGGTGTTAACAGATCTTGGATAGCAGCAAATTTTCAATTTAAACGGAACAGACGTGGTGGCCTCAATCTGCTTTACCATGGGTATATGTATACTGCGGAAAGAAGATATAATTCCACAATAAACTGGGTGTGCAGTAGAAATAGTAGCCTTACACTACGTTGTCCAGCGCGCTGCATCACAGCTGGTCAAAGTAACATTAAATTGAGCCAAAGATGTCATAATCATTCACCAATTAGTTGAAGGTAAGTTCTTTTATATACTTGTATGTAAATTTTGTGCATTTGGGTACATTAACTAATAAATCAAAGTGAAATACTCTTTAAAAAGCAGTTTTAATAATGAAATTCATACAATTTATTTTATATAATCTACAAATGTATGTTCTATTTTCCATAATCCATTTATATTGGAATGATTTTTAATTAACTCTGAATTTCTAATACAAATATGTATATATGTATGTATTTTTCCTTTAGCTTTTTCAATTAAAAATTCTCTTGTCACCGGTGCGAAATTTACAACTATAGAAAACTTTCGTTTTGTTATCGGATCACAATCTCCGAGCAAATACTATTTGAAGTGTGCAAACTTTCGTAACAAATGTCGCGCTCGTGCTGTTATACGCAAGGACACGTTGGCATTATTATTGCGTCGGAAACATAATCACACAGCAGAACAGCAAAATTTGAAAAGAAAGTAATAATGTAGTAAATAAATAATTTTTGGTTTATTTAACTTGCAATCAGATATCTATAAGACTGCTTTGTGACATCATCATATTTAATAAACTTATATACATTAATAGAGTAAAATACGAAATTAAACATATATATAATTAAATATATTTTTCATTTGCAACATATTTGTTTTTAACTTCATTATAATATCTATATTGTTTTATTTTAGCAGACAAAAATCTTCCGGTGCAATATATACGCTCACGTCGAGGAACTCATCTCGTGCTACATGAATATAATACATATACCCCGAATGAGAAAGTGCGGGACGGACGACTTTCGCGAGATTGGAAATGCTCTATGTATCATAAGGCGAAATGTCGCGCCAGACTTGTAACAAAACACACATTCACCGGCGATGTAATCCATGTAACGTCAGCGATACATACACATAAACCAATGTACACAGCTGCTGAGTTAGAAGTAATGCAAAAACAAAATCTTTTAACACAACAACCGAAACGGGAACATGAAATTACGGATGATGCACAGCAGCTAGAACAAACTCGTCCTATTAGCTCTTTGCATTGTTTGCCTCAATTACAGCAAATACAACAATTCCAGCCAATGCAGTTACGAGCACTTTATCTACCGTCCATAACAAATGTATCCCTTCTTCCGGCGCAATTTGACAAAATGCTGCCACATTAATTTGCAAGAAAACCCCAAGTTGATAAATAGTACAAAATAAAGAAGACAATTATCAAAAAAATCTCATTCATTATAGATATATATTATGAATTAATTTTGCAAAATACAAATCAGACTGACCTTAAGTATATGTAATATTAAATAGTTAACGATATCCCATTAACCAAAGCTCAATTCTTTGCAGACAACAAAGCATCTTTAAACATAGCGAGCAACTTTTTTGTACCCGACACGATTACAGAGAGCAAAGACGACGGGAGGGAAGGAAAAATATCATCATTGGTTCTAACACCAAGGAAAATGAATCTTTGTTTCATACCTGGACAACGAGGTAAATCCTTGTTGTGTTTCAACCACTTCACATACGCCAAAAATAATGTTTGTGGTAATACAACGTATTGGAATTGTCGCAGTCGACGTGTCGGTATGAAGCCATGCAACGCTCGCATCACAACAACGAAACAACCGAATGGTTTGTTCAGAGTATGCCTTACCAAACCAGAACACAATCATGAACCCTCTCTGCGCGTGCTGAAGAAGTTGAAGAGATCACTTTAAACCTTAACTAAAATAATATAAGAAAAATACAAATATCAATAAAATATATTCAGAAAATTGTATGGTCTTAAAGTTGTATTTTTTCTTATAGTTTTTTGAATTGTTTTAACTTTATTTTTCATTGTAAATTTCCACTAATAATTCTTTTTTTTCTTTATTTATTTGTTTACCTCACATCCAGAAGGCAGTGTTGCTATTTATTCGGCCACATCACGAGGACGGGTGCAGCTCATTTATGGCGGTCAACCATTCATCTTTGAGAAAATTTTGAAATTAGCCACTGGGGAGGAAAAGAAATTTTGGCGTTGTAATCAATGGTGGAACCAAAAATGTCGCTCACGTGTCTATACCATTAATGACATAGTTATGCCACTTAACCGCTACCATACGCACGAAGAAATCGTACGACGTAAGAAGCGTACACGTAGGATACCACCGAGTGCCAATGCTCAACCAAAGAAGGAAAAGAAAGTGGCGATTACCGAAAGTTCGAGCGTAGATGCGGTAGGCGTCACAACCACGGACCCCATCGATGTATCTGAATTAGGAATGCACTTGAAATATGAAGAAATCGTGGCAGATGTTACGGAAATAGAAGAGCCTAATATCGTTGTAAAAAAAAATTTAAAGAAATAATTTGTGGAATATTAACGAATGGTTACTTCAACTTTAACTTTAAAAAAATTTGGAAGAAAATGTATATTGAGTATATAAAAAGATTGCTTTTTTCTAAAGCTGATTTAAAATAGATCTTTGAATAAAATCTACAACTACTTTATAGCAAATAAATTTTTTACAAGTTTTGCCGCTCAGGTGCAACGTCATTAAACCAAGCAAACAATTTTTCCTACAACTAATTTATTTTAAACTTATGTATTTTTCATTTTAGTATCCATTTCAATACCTAAAGCTGGCAGTCAAAACTTTTACTTCACAGCTGGGCAAAGGAAATCCGTTAAACTCGTATATGGAGGCTATCAATATGTCAAGTTCATGGAGAATTCCAAAGGCATTAAGTGGATATGTTCTACCCGATCGACCACCAAATGCAGAGCACGAGTACGTACAACGAAAAATTCGCAACTCGAGGTGCTCCATGCTAAACACAATCATTCTTTTATACAAAAGAAATATCCACGGAAAATGGATAAAGATGTTAAGTCTAGTACCGAACACATATTTCTGCCAAATGCCTCTCCAAATTAGATTAGTCGATACAAGCTAGAATAGAAATTATAATACGTCTACTATGAGAGAAATTTGTTTGTAATCCTTGTATATTGAAAACTTATAAAATCTATATAATTACTTGATAAAAAAAAAACGTATAAATTTTACTACTTACAGGATAAAATATAAAAAATAACAAATCGGAATCTGAAACAAATGTAATGTTTAACCGATAATATTTTTACATTATCGGTTAAACCAAATTATGTGACTAAACTAATTTGATAGTGAAAACTCTGTCATCCGGGCTGTTAATTTTTAAATAGACGTCCAATGATCTATCGTTATTGTTTTTGTTGTTGTAGCGCTTATCTTTTCCCCTCTTATTATATAAACCTCTTTGCACGTCCCATGAATGCTACTCATCTGAAAAACCTCTCCTTATGTTCAGACCCCGTCGAAGCAGCACGTTTCCTGTGCCTCCTCCCTTATATGACTTGGATGACAACCAACAAGATTGCTCTTCTGTCCTTATCAACAGACAGATATTGTTTACAGATACACTTTAAAAAATGATTCTGGTTATCCGATAGATATTTCTTAAAGTAATGCATTGATATATTTTCGTCAGGTTAGTAGTAGTTGGTATGGTTAATTTTATAGAGTATTTGTCTTATCCATACAAAACTCAAAAGAAAGTTTTAATGTGTTCTAATAATAGTGAGCATGTGTTGCAAGAATAGTGAATAAAAAAATATATGGATATATATTCAAATTTATTGAAAATAGAAAAATAATTTTATTTCAAAATTGTCTAATGAGCTTTATCAAAACAATCCGCACACATCCAAACACCATCGGGACACTGTGGACAATATGTGGTGATTTTGGAAAGAGCTGCATGGTTTTCAGGTGTTCTCTTCAAGCATGTGACACACTTTCCGAACATACGAGGCTTACCAATTTTAGTTAAGTGATGGTTATTCCACGACGTTTTCAAAATTGTTTCGCCAGTTTTTATTTCCGAATATGACGACTTAACGACCGACATACCATCAACTGAGTAGATCGTCGAGGACTTGTACGCCTTTTTACCTAATGTACTTTTTTGCTTCGATTGTTGATGTTGTTGTGGAATAACAACTGGACAAATGATATTTACAGGCATTCGCTTTTTAGCTGAAAAAAAAATACAATAAATATTAATAAAATAGAAGATAAGTTCATCACTGGTTAGAAAGTGTTAAAGTGAAAGACATAGATTTTATTATATTTATATTAATTTTTATTTGTTTAAAACACGTCGCTGTATGCAAAATGCACATTAAACCTGCTTGAATACTATTGGGCTACAACTTTTTAGTGTTTTTTTTGCGGGATGACTATGTATACCACGCAGGGAAACTAACATTTTGCCACGGGTTTTTATATTTGCCCGACATCGAAATTTTGTATACGCCGAGCAGCGCCAATGCACCACACAAGTATTACCGTTTTCCGAATGCATCGAATATGTGTGACCGTTGTAGACTAATTGACCTCTGTAATTATACTTTAAAGGCGCAACAATTTCTGCGTACTCGTTAGCGTTAAAAGATGTTGCTAAAAAATATAAATATGGAATATAATATATGAATGTAAAAGATGTTGGTGGGTATGCAGACACTTTTCAATTAATATTTATTATATTATAATAATTCAAATGAATGAAATTTTGTATGTTTATATTATCCTCCCCCTCTCTTCATAGAAACAAAAGATTGAAGTTCACTAACGAAAAATAATCTTTTTTTACGCTTTTGCATTTATGATGTGTATGTGTATAATACGGCCAGAATATTACTACTTAAAACTGCAACTACGCTCCAGCTTCCGTTGTTCATAAACATACTTAAGTGTGCCTTTCTTACGTCGCTCCCGAACGATAGGATGGTTGTGGGATTCGTCCACAATCGAAACACGATCTCCGGCGGGGTTAGTTCGAACTCTTGCTCTACATCTGTAATTTTAAATGCGTAAATATGTAAATATACATGTATGCATACACTCAAATGTGAACTATTAAGGTTTATACTGTTTAAAACACACTTTAAGGGACGAAATTGTACACAGCGCCAGTAAATTGTGCAACCACGTATTCGGTGTCGTGAATAAGGAAAACCATCCAATACCAACTGGTAAGTTCCCTTTAAACTTGAACGATAATTCACGCGATTCTGAGCCACATCGTTAGCAGAAGTATCTTCGGAAGCTTCGTTATCCCGTAGGCTTGGCGGCGTGTCTGTAATTTATTTATAACTTTGTTAAATAGTTGCGTTAAAATTTTGTTTTTTTAAGTATTAAATAAGCAACACAATCAACCTTAGTTTTATAGCATGTTACATGAAGGAAATCTGTATCTGTTCTCCATTTAACCTGAATATGCAACACTATATTTAATATGGATAATATTAATACAATGTAAAAACTAGGTGTCAAATTTATTATTTATTAACATTATTGATGTATCGATGAGCTCATCTCCCGGTTCTTGTTGCACTCGTATGGGCAAATGATAAGTGCGACGATTTGGTTTTATTTCAACACTTCCTCTGTTTATATTATGACCTAGACCGTTCCCTCCACCATTGTTTAGTTCAACCATACGATTACGTTCAATCATCTTTTCGATTTTTTCTGTGTGAGGCGGATGATTATGCAATCCACCAGTTTCAGACTTTAATTTTCCATCCTCCAGCACACAGCGAGCACGGCAACGTTCTGATTGTACTTTCTTTGAGTAATTATGACAGCGCCAGTATTCTTTGCTATTTTTTCGGCTGTGGCAATTATACATAAAGTTGCGTAGCACTAGACAAGGTGTAGCCCAGGGACTGACAATAAACATTAATTCTGTATCTGCAATAAACGAAATCAGAAAATGCAAATATTTAGGTCAAAATGCGATTTTAGTATATAACACAAAAATTCTATGAATTATAATTACGAATATATACCACAGTAACTTATTTTGTATAGGTTTTATTTAAAATTTACAATTACAGTTATAGACGTAAATAAAAGTTGGTTTACGTTAACAAAAACACAACATCTCATTCTGGTTGATAATTAGGCCAAACTGTTGTGGCTGCTCGTACTGCAGGAGTCGGAACGAATAACTTGAACTCTTTGCCACTTTTCTGTGCACAGATCTCTATGTTGGAAACATTCATGTATTCAGCAAGTTTTGGATCTTCAGGTTTAATTTCAATATACTCGCTGAGATCTTCCTCTACTTTATATAATGGCCGTTGACCTATCCGTTGCACATGATCCTCATGATTGTGTGAACGTCGCGCAGCAACTAATTTATTTTTTTTCGTAATGACGACAGCTTTACAACGTAGCTTTAACAGATCTACGCACCGCCATGTAGTTTGTCCATTTGCCTGAGTTAACTTCTTGTTGTATATGAATCCGTTATAAACTAACTGGGCATATTTTTTCTGACTTCGTATGAATTTCACTTCATCTTCACCTGTGTAACAATGACAATAATAATGAATTATATGATGAAAGGAGTCAATAACTTTCTAAATGTAAACTTTATGACAATTTAAGAATGAAAAGACGTTCACAAATTGCAACAGCAATAATTTTTAATCATTTATTATAGAATAACTTATAAAAACTGGTAGATATTTGAGCGTACTGTGAGAACTTTATTAGGCAGCATGTTATCTAGACGAACGCTTTAAAATTTGCGAAATTTACATTAAACAGATTATAATTAATTAACTTACCCGATACCACACCAACGAAACTGGCTGTTATTAATAAGAAAATTTGCTATTAACATTGTTAATACCACCTTGAGATTTTTGATGTATTTTTATGTGATTTATTCTACGATAATCGTGGTTTAGGTACAATGAACTGCAATGAATTACAATTGTCATGAATATGTGGTTTAAAAAACAAAGCCTTGGCTAAATGAGACTTACCTTTAATAAAATGCTTGGCGCATATCAATATGTCTCATATATATTTTTTCATGAAATAATACATGTAGTTGTTTATACTTATTTAAGTGCTCATTTTCAGTATACCTTTTAATAGTTTTTGAACTCACAAGCTTTTTACAACAGATTCGTCCAATGCAGTGAAATCGGTTAAGCACTACGCGAATTTAACATTGACAATTTATTCATGAAAAGATGTATCACGAAAGAAGGTAATTTAAACCACGTTGGGGAAATTTATCGCAAGAGTAATATATATTTAGCATCACATTATTGAATTACGTTTACGAAAATTATTTTAATTTGCAAAACTTATAATTTCGCTTAGAAAACACGAAAATCTTTATAAACATATATCTAAAAACTGTTAAGGGTTGCCATAGCACATAGAGTTGCTTCAGTAAAGCCCAAGTATTTTTATCATGTTCGATAAAAAAAAGTTATTATAATCAATTAAGATAATCGTGTTGCAAAAATTCCCAATCGCTGACTCAAAATATAAAATATAACTAAGAATTTAGGAATACATATTTTTCACTTCTTTATAAAGAAAAAAAATATCGATATAATTGGGATTCATTGAAGATACACGCCATACTGCGTTCAAACGAGGAAACTTACCCCAATTCCTCCTTTGACCTTGTTTTCAACTTTATTACAAACCTCATTTATTATGTTGCGAAGCTCAAAAATTGATATTTTGACTGATAGTTGTCCCTTCAAAGCCTTATAACACTACTCCATTTAACATTTTGTATTTCGATAAAAATATATATTTTTATTACGGTTTACAACTCCACTCAGTTAAATTGAAGTTTTTAACTTCAGATCAACCACATTCTTTTGTGGTAATATCAGAGAACATATATTATAGAGAAGGTCCAACTACGGACCAGGGTGTGAATTGCCAAAACCTAACAAAATACGATGAGCGTTGTGGTTGTTGTTGTTGTAACGGTTATCTAGTCCCCGCTTAGATGATAAGTGATAGATGGTTGTCGTCGAAGTCCCAAGAAACAGGCTGTTTCGACGGGGTCGGACTATAGGGAAAAGGGTGTTAGATGAGTTGGGTTTGTTGGGCATGCAAAGGAGCGGTTAGTATCATGCGGAGCCTCATTGCACGCAGGACATATGTTTGGAATGTCAGGATCTATTCTGGATAAGTAGGAGTTTAACCTGCTACAATTTCCAGAACGAAGTTGCGCGAGGGTCACTCTGGTTTCGCGGGACTACGAAAACACCCCAGCAGAAAACTCCTTGGAGAGGAGCTCGTTAAGTTCCTTAACGGGAAGCATAAGGAACTCACTGTGCAGGGGTTTTATTGGGGACATCAAGAGGCTCCCGTGATAGTCCGGAGTGCAGTGTTCTGACAAGTCTAAAGCTTCTTCGTCTGCGTCGCACTACTTCCAGGCGACCATATTGGTGATGCATAGTTTAGGACCGGTCGGCCGATTGCCTTGTATGTTGTCAACAACGCTTCTTTGTCTTTTCCCCAAGAGCTGACAGCAAGCGACTTGAGGATTTTATTGCGGCTCTGTACTTTGGCAGTTATCGAGGTCGTGTGAAGAGTGAAGGAGCACAGTCTGTCAAATATGACGCCTAAAATTTTAGGGTTATTTACTGTCGGAATTTTTGTGCCACCGACTGAAATGTTCAGGTCCAGTCTGTACTCCTTCGTCCAATTTGTGAAGATGGTCTCTGTGGATTTAGAGGGGGAGAGTGTCAGACTCCTCGCAGAGAAGAAGCGAGAAAGGGCGGAGATGTAGCTGATTACTTTGGAGCACATGCCATCGATTCCATATCCATACGATGAGCGTGTTTCACAACAGCTAGCTCGGAAGGAGAAATTTGAACAGTGGCGCGTAAACAGAGTTGGGCATTGTATGAAAATTATGTTCAAGAGTTTGCACTGATATTACAGCCGAATGTTAGCCTTTTGGCTAATTCTATCATATTAATTAAATTATGTAATTTTCAAAATATCATTTTGGGCATTTAATAATTTTATTTAGTTTTTGCAGAATATACATTCCTCATAAATAATTTGTATTATAATTGTCACTAATAGTGATTAAATTTATTAAAACAAATATATACATATTTTATTACATTAATCTTATATAGTCATATGTATTGTATATCTGCTCATGCGCATTTGAATGTACGTACTCAGAAATTCAAATCATGATTTTATCACTTATCAATACACTATGGGTGCGTTCGAGATGGCAATCACGACAGCAGTGTTGCAAGTTTGTCAAAGTATCACGTTCGGCGTGAATTTATGGCAACACTTGCAACAGCATCACGTTCTGCTGTTAGTTTTTGCACGCAATTTATGCAAATAATCGGCAACACTAAATTTTTGTCTGCATATCAGCAAATATGCAACACAGTAGCTGTACTGCTGTTATTATTACGTAGCTCGAACGCACCCTATATGACATTGCCGAACAAATAATGCAACGCAAAAACTATTAATATTGTTCTAAAAAAACAACAATCGTCACAAGTCAATAGGTCCGCCAAATAGCCGAAGCTCAAATTTATAGTAAATCACACAACTTTCATTTATGAACGCAAGCGTAGGGTGCGTTCGAGATGGCAGTCACGACAGCAAAGTTGCAAATTTGTCAAAGTATCGCGTTCTGCGTGAATTTTTGGCAACATCTGCAACAGCATCACGTTCTGCTGTCATTTTTTGTACGCAATTTATGCAAATAATCGGCAACACTAAATTTTTGTCTGCACATCATCCGAGTATCAGCAAATATACAACACAATAGCGGCCTTTACACGGTCATTCATGTTTGCAAGCATGTGCGGCGTGATCAGAAGAATGAGCGTGTAAACATAATAAATTCGTGTTTGTCATACATGTGCGATGGTTTTTAAAATTTTTTAAAAACATGATGTTGTTATGAACATGTTTTATGGTGTAAACGCTTGCATCATGCACGCAGCATATTTTTTCAGTCCTAAGCAAACATTGAAGCGTAATGACGTCACGGATAAACGAAGAACTGTGGAAGGACTTCTTTTAAATTTATCTAAGCGTTCTGGATTATAAATTTAAAAAAAAAAAATATTATAACAAAGAAACAATACAAGTCATAATAAAATATCATGGTTTTATGATGAACGTTTTAAATTAAATTAGCAAATAAAATTTAGTTGCACGTTGTTCAAAAATATTTGTGTCGTTCCCTGAAATTTCGTTTCGCACTGCTTTTGTTAGCGGGTTTATTTCTGGCATCCCACCTTTTTGACATCATCTGTTCGAGTTTCCCTGATTATTAAAATCAGGGATGACATGAAGCGACTCTCATTTTCGATAACAGAAAAATCAGCGAAAATGAGTCTCGCTTCATGTCATCCTTGATGTTGCTCCGTTCACAAATAACAGAGAAATAAAGTATGATTGCATGTTCGACCGTTTAAACGAGAACCAGGTTTTTTTTTTGCATCATACCACGTTTGCATACAAAAATGAGTGTAAAGGCCGGTAATAGATGTACTGCTGCAATTATTACGTAGTTCTAACGCACCTCTACTCTGTTGCATATTTGCTGATATCCGGATGTGCAGATAAAAATTTAGTGTTGCCGATCATTTGCATAAATTGTGTATCTCGAATGCACCTTTTGTTTGCACATCAGCAGCTGTGATACTGCAATTATTACGCAGCTCGAGTACACCCTATACTATAACATCACATATATCACAAAAATAGATTCGGCAATAATGTACTGCCGTTGCTTGATAAACAAACAACATCTGACATCAGTTCCAAATTAGGAGTCTTCACACCTATTCCTTACATTTGCACCCTTAATTTTTTAATTATACATTTGGTATTACTTACAAGGGTAGGTAAGAATACGTAGTTTAAGCGGATTCATAAAACAAAGTTTGCGTAATATAGTTAATTACTGAAGGACTGGCATGAAAACCCCTATAATACTAGAATAAAATTTAATCATGTTATTAGTATTAAAAATGTAAATATACGATTCAAGTAATTTCTAATAAAGTATAATCGAAATTTTTAGACTTACCGTAAATATTCCTCCACATTGTTATATTTAATTTCCATAATCACTTCAGCACCACAATCCTCTTTTATAATGTTCACCAAATTTTAAATTTTTCACAAAATCTTGCACTAGATAAAATTATAAAATCCGAACCACGACCGTTGTATCGTCAATTAGACAATACAATTTTATAAATTGCGTAAAATACGAGCGCAATACTTGGAATATACGTGTAACATATAACAACTTTTAAAGTATATATTTCGTTGGTGAAAGATCATCTTAATGAAGGCATATTTACGGTTCTAATGCGAATCAACCTTCTTTAAGCCGACTTTACTCAACGTGGAAATAAATGTAATTGAACCATTAACTAGATAAAGAACTGTACTAAGAACAATTCCAATATTTCGGTGGATATAAACAATATAGAATGCTACTCAGTTAATAGTTCAGTTGCAGTTATACCACTTTCTTACATTCTAGAAAAGAAATGTATTTTCAACCAACCTTGTGCGTCACTGTTTCCTTGGTCGGCCACGTCCACGTACGATGTGTCGGTGAATGATGATTGTTGCTGTTTCACCAAAGCTTTTGATGTTGTTGCATTCACACCACCACCTGAACCTGTTCCAGTTTGTACCGTCGTCGCACCTGCAGGTGTATCGTCATTTTCAGTAAAATAGCTTTCGTCATACCTAAGCTCTCCATAAGAATCATCTTCTACATAAGTGGCCTCATTTTCGCCTCCTTCTACGTCACCAGCATCTTCTGCGTAGTCTGGTTCAGATTTCGTAGGCAACTCTATTGGCAAGTCTATATATTCGGGCTCACTTGGTTGTTGCTGTATTTGTGTTTTAGTCTCAGGCGCAGGGGCAGCAACAACTGCTGTTTGAACAGTTAGTTGTTGAGTTCCGGTCGACACATCAGTTGTGTCTAGCGGATCAATTGTACTTTTGGTGCGTTTAATGTGGGGCCCACTTCCAATACTTCGCGCTGGTCGCTTATGCGTAACAACGGTTGTAGTAGTGGCGGTTGTGGTGGTTGCGATTTGTTGAGGTGCTATATGCGTTTGACTTTGAGTCGGCAAATGTTGTGTTTGCGGTTGAGCAACGACTTGTTGTGCTGCAGGAGCCGCCGTAGTTTGTATGACAATCTGAGTTTGTTTATCATCTCCAGAATCTTCCACAGATTCTATTTTAAACGAGCGAGAAGTTGATGTTCGTTGGCGGACGCGAGGCGAAGATATCTGTTGAATTTGAGGGGAAGGTGTGGAAGGTTCCGCTGGCGATTGCGATGGTGGAGGATCGCTCTAATAAAGAAGAATCATATTATTATACTATTACATATTACAATAGATATTAATGTGAGAAAAGCACACATTGCTTTGTATTACATTCACTTTAACTTTCATATTATGGGGTGGGTACAGTTTCGTACAGATACATACACAAACACAAATGCAGACATTTATATTGCATGTGTAGATACATATATATATATATTTATACAAAAATGGCGCAAAATTAAAAGCGTGCTATGAACAATTAGCATTTTTTATGTGCTTTCCATATTTTGATATTACAAACATATCAATTTGGTACTTACATCTGTTAAGCCTTTTATTTGAAGAGCTTCGGCTGTGCTAATAAACGCTGGTAATGCTTCTTGCTTCACGTTTACCTCTCCACAATACATAAATTGTATAAGATCTTTTAATGCTGTATGAGATACGTCCTTGAGAAAAACTAAAGAAATAAATAATGTTACTAATACTTTGGGAAAATAATTTCTTCGAAAGCGAAATTTCACACTTACCGAAAGCATGTTGATTGGCCGGCATTTGTGTGAACATTTTTCGAAAATAGGGCGAGCATACAGACAAAACTAAACGGTGCGCTTTGACAAATTGCCCTTCCGCCGCTAGCGTCACGTCCACCAAGTCACCACGGCATAGCGACTCATGAAAACCAGCCGACAAATTGCTGTTGAAATTATTCCAACAAAGCGAGAATTGCTCGTCGTCCGCCATGTTGGCTGACACAATACTAGTGAATTCGTCGTCTGATCCGATGTGTTTGCTGACACAAATCGATAAATTTGTGTATGTACCAAGTATTGAAAATTCTATAAAACATTCATTTTAATCATTACAATCACAAATAAAAGTTTCAATTCATTGACTATTACTTTGTTTATTCAAAAATAAAACCAGTTTTTCTTTCTTACCAAAAAAAAACTGGGAAATTATTTTTGCTAGACAATATTTCTATGGATCATTGGTAGTATCTTTAAAACTTACAATTTAATACAACGGCTTTCAGTAAACTTGCAGAATTACTTTAACTTTGGGTTCACTTTAAACTATTTTTTGTTTCTCTGTAAAATAGAAATCGTTGCAACAACAGCAATAAATTTACGCCAGACACAAACCGTTCTCGGTCAAATTACGAATGAAATCCAATTTCGACCAAACGCTTGGCGTTGTGTGCGTTTCATGGAAGCATCACATTTCCGTAATTGAAAATTTTAAAAGATTTATTTTGATTGGCTAACACTTATATCAGGGTTGCATTGCATGTTGCCAGATTAATGAGCCTTAATAAATTCTTGAAGTTTGTAAATAGAATTTTAAATATTTTATGTACAACCTTCTATTTTCGTATGTTTTATTAATACATAAAAAAAAAGAAATAAATAAAAAATAAAACGTGAATCGGGCTAAGTCGGGAGTGGAGCTTTTTAAATTTTGTTCTCCTAAATAAATGAATAATGTTGAATTTTATAATTTAGTAGTTTACCACAGAGATTAAAGAAGCACGCAAATCAGGTTAATTAATTTTGGATTTGAGGAATTCCTCTTAAGAGTTATGGTATAGATATCATTGTGTAATGTTTGCGTATATTATATCTACAACTTTAAATGTTGTAAGAGGAAAACAACATCTATTAATATATTTTATTTTACAATTATTAGTAAGTTTGGTTACCGAGTAATTTCGAGTACTTACAATTTAATTTTACTTCACTAATTTCGAGACTCTGAAACAGTTGACATTTACTTGACATCCGATATGGAACCGCAATTTTCATTTCCACATATTCAGTTTTTGGTTTGTATTATAAATGCATGCTTTATTATGTCTTGTATATTTTCAGAAAAATTCAATTCAGTTTGAATGAGTGTAAAATGAGAGTTGCATAAAGAGAGTTTCATTGCCAAATTTAATTATTTAGTGTTTTAAGTGCATTTTCAAATAGTATTCTTTTATTCTATAATGTTCAGTTTTTGAGAAGCATATTTTCATATCATTATGGAAATGCACTTATACAAACATACATGGAGATACATATACATATGCACATACATGTAAGTACGTATGTTTAGCTAAATACTGTATGAAGAAAATACATGATTTTGGCAAAATCCTCTCTTTCATTGCAAATAAAATAACGAGATTGTTGAGATAATAAAGATTTACTTTATGCAAAATCATATTTATTAAATATTTACTTATTTATGCCCAATAGTATATACACTTCGTTTCTTACATAAGTATATAAATACATAAACATATGTTGTTAACTCTATGCGATTATGTCTATAGTACATATGCGTCTGTACATTCCCTACCACATACTTTGTATCTAACATACTACAAAAATATTATAAATTCTCTAACAAGGAGGAAAGTTATGTTCATGATGAAAATGAGTGTATATGTATGCGTGATCACAATTTAAATGATCGATTTACATGTGTATTTGCACATACATATGTATTTAAAATTTGCAAGCATATGGCGTACGCAAAGTTCGGTGCGGATTTATATGGTATGCCATTTTTTGCTAAAATTGTTAATATTAGGATTTTTACAAATTTATCTGTATATGGACATGTAACACCTGCATTATTTTTACCTATTTCTATATATGTATATATATATGTAAATTTTAATACTACAACTTCTTCTTTGGCGCCAAATCCCAGATCGGCTTAAGTTTTACGTTTAAGGCCCACCATACAGAGTGTAAAGAATATAACTATCCATACTGACATTACTATGAATCCATTGTACACTTGCCAATTTGTAATCGACCAACCTTTCTCTATAATGTTTCGTGCTGATATAGATGGGATCGTAAATGGAAAGAATAAGACAATGTCTTGTAGAGATTTCGGCATTCCTTCCAGAGGCCATAGCAGTCCTTGAAATTTAAATAAATTAATATACGTATGTATATGCATGTCTCAGAGTATGTAAATATTCATATACTCACCACAAAGAATTATCATTGGATAAAATGCACCAGTGGCCACGAAATTTGCTTCTGTGTGCGATTTACAATACACCGATATGAGCAAACCTTTAAGTAGTAAATTTTCATTTTAAAATATTACATGCTTTACAACAACATAGGATAAGTGATATGTATTAAAGCGGTGTTTTCTTACCGAAGAGCATTCCACAAAAGGCTGTCATTGTCAATAGGCCAATTAGTGTTGCTGTATCACCTTTGTTGTAAGTATCAAATACCAATCCAATATACATTATAACCTCAAAAGATTGGAATGCCATTATAATGAGCTGTGTGAGTAGATGCGCCCACAGCATTTCCATGGCGGATACTCCAGCCACCAGTGTGCGATCCCACACACCGTCCATACGCTCCGAAATGAAGACAGCTGCTGTCATCAATGTTGCCAAAAAGAACACCATACTACCACCAAAGAAAATTATATATTATATGATTGGCAATTAGCAATAGAATGTTGCACCGAAAAGTTTCAGCATTTTCGAATTGAAAAATAAAGCATAAAGACTTACGTCATGACAACACCAGGCGCCACATATTGCTGAAATTCTATATCAAATGAACCATAAACGGGTTCCTGAAATTGTATAGGAATATTTCCCAAGCCAGCTGGTAGATTGCATTCAGCTAACACGTTTTTCACAAAAGAACCAAAACTATCACGTAATTTGCGCTCAATAAAGTATCCAATCTGTTGATCTTTTATTCGGTAAAAGATTATAATAAGTTAATGAAAAAAATCATAAATTGTTTATCAGGTATGGTAAGATTGTAAAAATCGTGTAAACAAAGATCTAAATAATAATTCATTCTTTATGCATTTAAATTAATTCATTATGGAGCTATGGAAATAATTTTTATTATATGTAGATGAGTTAACAAATATACATTCTTGCTGCAATATTTCTGCATCTGTTGGAACCTATTTACCTGTCATATCAATGTGAACACTAAGTTCGGAGTTTTCCACCGCACCGTTATCCGCGTAACGCCCCTCCTCCATTCGCACTCTCATTGATTCGGAGAAATTGTTGGGGAACATGATATAACCGAGGACTTCAGTTCGCTTAGCTGCATTATAAGCTTCTTCCTCTGTTTTGTAGTATACCTAGGTAAATATTGATATATGAATTTATATGATTGTATATACATATGTATGTTTGTAATAGCATCAACTCTGAGCTACTTAATTGCTTTTTATTTGAAACAATTTTTTTCAAATTTAGCTAATTGTTTCAACTTTTGTTTGAAACTTAATAAAAAACAAAATACATACTCTCTCAGCTATGTCATCACCCAACTCGATTATATAACGACACGATATCTTTTTAAATTCGCACGTGTCATTGTGATTAAAAACAGTCTTTAAATTCTGATCAAAACATGTTGCATAATCATTTACTTCACCACTGACGATACCGAGTTTTAGATTTGTTGGTGTTTTGCCAATGGCTAAATAAAAGCAGGTGAGCTGGATTAATGGGAAGAGCAGCATAAATATTATTCCACTGAAAATAGCACATAAAATTAGGATTAAAACAAAATAACTTAAATATTATTCAATATAAATGTTATTTCCACGTACGATGGCTGTCGGAATAATTGCACAAAATTTTTTGTCATCAAAGCTTTAATTCGGCCGCGCGTCGTGAAAAATATTCGCTTTCTATTCTCGGTTTCTTGCTCGCGACAATGACCTCCTTGATCAGTTGGTTGAGTTTTGTTGTCGTTTTCATCGACCAATGGAAGCTTTTTGCACATGTCGTTGGGTTCTGGCGAGGTTGCGTCTATTACTTCCACAGAATGCATAATTGCTGGCGATTGGGAGGTGTTAATCGTGTTGGGCTGCACTATGTCCGAGTCACCTTGTTTTTGGCTCAATATTAGAAAGGCATCCTCAATAGAGTTGCACTCAAATTTTATCATTATATTTATTGGAGTATCTTCCGCCAATAGTACACCATTTCGCATTAAGCCAATCTAAAAGGAAATTTATTTATACCATATACAGATATAATATATTTATATCATGAGAGGTTTATATGAACTTACGCAATTGGCTTTTTTCGCCTCTTCTATATAATGTGTAGTAATGATCACAGCCATTTTGCTATTCCTAGTGCTCTCCACAAGAAAGTCCCATATTCTGTTGAATACAACGAATTTTTATAAAAAAAATAAATAAAATAAGGAAGAGGTCAATTTTCGTTCAACCGAATATTATATACTTTCGCATTTTCATTTTAACTACCAGGGTAGATATTGTTAAAAAAATATGCTCTCTTATTTTACTACAATATTATAAGGCGCAAATTGCCCGATATTTTCAGTATACGATGACGTGTTTAGATGAAAGTTGCTAAATGTTAAAGGCAGTGCCTTGATTTATCTATTGTAAAATGAATAAATCTGCTGGACATTAAAATAAGAAGTATGTGAGATTGTAGTCCATTTTGAAACTGTAATAAAAATAAGTGTAAAAGTAGTCGGTGTCCCGCCCATTGTAAAAAGTTTATACCGATGCACTTGCAACCCTGCTGTATTATTCTTAAGGTTAAATTTATTACTGGTGACGGGTTATCGGATTTGTACTTGTGCGGTGTTACGCCCACTTTTAGAAAAATAAAACCACAAACTGTGAACTAAATTTGTAGCTTATTTTGATACACAATTATAGCATGTTATATTTATACAATTAGGTAGAGAAGTTAGTGGACGTATTTTTACCAGGACTTCTTTCTTTACTACCTACAGTTGAGTATAAATCATTATATCAATGGTCACAGTAATGATAGTACAGGCTATAATGATCTAAGTCGAATACTTACTTCTCCCTTAGCATGGGATCTAAGCCCACTGTCGGTTCGTCGAGTATCAGTAATTCTGGTTCGTGTATCATGGCGCATGCGAATGAGACTCGTCGCTGTTGGCCGCCGCTACAGTTCTTCACAAGCTGCCTTGGTGGTGGTAATTGCAATAGTGAACGTAATATTTTGAATTTCTCCCGAATCTGTTCTTCCTTCAAACCATAAATACGTCCGAAATAGAAAATGGTCTCTTTTACTGTCATCTCATCGACAAGAGCGATTTCCTATTTAATAAATATATAATCATAATTATTTATAACAATACTTGAACATTTTGAAATGAACTAACAAAACTTCGTAAAGGAAATAGGTATGTAACACATTTTTGAGAAAATGAAGAACTTGGAATTATTATCAAAAAAAAAAAAAATGTTTTAACTAAAACTACATAAAAGCTTACTTTAAAGAAAAACAATAGAGCCTCAATATGATACTAACCTGCGGCATATAGCCAATACGTGAACCTGGAATGCCACTGCCCGGTTGTCCAGGCTTCATGCCCAGAACTGAGACTTCACCGCTATTAAGATGGCGCTGACCGACTAAACAGGAGAGTAGTGTAGTTTTGCCGCAGCCTGAAGCACCAAGAAGACCATATCTGTAAATTGCAAATAAGAAACCAAGGACATACATATAAACAAAAACTTACACACCCTAATAGAGTAATTGAAGTAAGTTAATCGTACTCACATTGAACCGCGCATTACATTCATATTCAAGTAGTTGAGAATAATTTTGGGATTTGATTTACTGCCATAGTATTTGTATCCGTTGCGTACCTCTACGGCCGCCATATTGCCTGATGTTATCGCTTATTTGTATATATATTCACTAAGTTTGGTTTATGTTTACTTATACTCTTACATATAGATGACTCGCTGGGAATATTCTTTTTGGACCGGTGTGAGTCAATTATATGTATGAGTATGACAAAAAAACTGTGGATGTATAAATATGCACGTAGCTGTGATCTGATTTTGGTGTTGGTATGCTGCGGGAGACGTTGACGTTTATGTGGTGCTCACACTGGCTTTAGAATCGTGGACGGCATAAATTATTCAGACCGTGTACAAACTGGAAAAAATAACATACAAAACAGGAACCTTATAAGAACTTGATGAAAGCCGACTTATTCAGAAATATACAAAGATTTTTTATGTCTACATACATTTATACCATACATATACATATCTATATGCGTATATTTTGCTATTAAAATAGCTGTCAGTGCTTACGGATCATTACGTAATGAAATGTTACGAAATAAAAACAAATAGATAGGTACATATATTCATACATACATACAAACATATGTACATATATCGAATTACAATCAACTTAGTGAAGCTTAAACCTGCGTCTATTATAAATATCATTAAGTATTTTGATAAATTTTCTCTATCCAAAGACGTAGTTATTTACAGACATCTCAGTGGCAGAAAACGGGAATTTCTAAACGGAAAACATATTTCTGAAATTTGTAGCCTTGTAATAATATAAAAATTAAGCATCAAGGGTGTGGTACCGCCCACTTTATGGTATAAATTTAAACATCAAAAACCACTCTGGTTATTTCGACACATAATATTCTCATGATGCTCCATTAATATATGTATGTACGTAGTTCAAGAATAGAAAATACATTAATTTTACGAAAGTACCTTCTCAAAAAAAGTCTTCCATACTGGAACTTGAGTTTGATAGATCAGTGTGTGTGACAGTTATATACTATAGTGGGGGAGAAAATGACGTGTGTAAAATTTCAGATCTATATCTTAAAACCTGAGAAACTAGTTCGCGTATATACAGAAGCAGCGAGGGACAGACGGATATGTCTAATCGACTGAGCTCGTCACGCTGATTATTCATATATATACTATGTAGGGTCTTCGACGTTTCTTTTTGGGTGTTACAAATTTAGTGGCAAACTTAATATACCCTGTTCAGGGTATAATTAGATCAATAACGCTCATTTTCTAGAGAACGTCATTTTGAATATCATCAGCTTAGTTACTTTTACAAAAATATAAATTAATGTATCGAAATAATATTTAACACCAATAGTTTCACGTTATGATATATCTTATAGCCCCCATAGCATATGAGGATATCCGTCCAACCGGTTGATTATATAAGCTAAATCAATAGATCTCAATAGATTTTCGGTCCTCTGGCTTAAATTAATTCAACTCTAAAACAGAGACAAAACTGAGTGGTATCGGTCCATAACTTCCTCCAGCCCTAATATTATGAAAATATATATAGTATATTATGAATATATATATATATTTATATACCTATTAACCATTGTTAAGGTGCGATCCGGAAATTGTCTATTATATTTATTATTGCATGTATTTGTAAAATGTTATATTGTCTCACTTTCCAATTCAACTTTAGACAGATGATATAATCAACAAATATTTGGCCTTTGCCTAACTATTTTTGCTCATGAATATTATTTTGCAATACTATAAGGGCGTAGAGTGCAATAGAGATTTAGAATTAATAAAGAAAACATATAGATAAAAAAAAGATTTATTTACTTCATATACATATTCGCTACGTAGTTTCTGTCCTTTTTTTCTAAACAATTAATATTCCAAATGCGTTCATTTGGGGAATCGCTCATTCTAAGCTTATGTAGACGTCAAAATGTAATGTAGTAAATATATTTGTATATATATACATAAAAATATATATATATATATGTGTATTTGCCAAATCAGTGCTAATGCTGTTGAATATAAGTGAGTAAATGCCTCTCGGAAGTAAAAATAATTTATTTAATACATTTTTAAAGTGCATTTGTTAATTTTTAGTACCTATATGCGGTTCTATGACGCTTTTGAAAAATAATTAATTTCGGAGAACTTTTTCTTACATCAGATACTTTATTGTTCCTAGGCGGATGTCTGTTGTAGTTCTATGGAACAAACATAGAAGTAACGATTTTTTAACTATAGTAATTAATATATACCTATATCTACATACAAGTATGTAGCTTAACTCTCACAAAAAAATATTATACAATAATATAATAAATTTGTCCACCTAATGATTGTTTGTAACACTTCTGATAATTGCGATATAATTATTTTAGATAAACGAGGCGAATTGATTTCGTATGTATGACCGTCTTTATATCTGTCCAAGTGATAACAAGCCTCAGGATTAGCAAGAGAAAAAAATAGGATTTTACAATTTTTAAGATGTTTAAGGTACACATCTCATAAGCTTAGGTCCATGAGTAAGTTGTGTTGGAAATATTGCTTCGTTAAAAATGTGTATACCCTGAAAACGTTATATTAAGTTTGCTACGATGTTCGCAACAGACGAAAGGAAACGTCGGGGAGCCTGTAATAAAGATATATAAGTGATCAGTGTGACTAGTTGCGACGATTTATTAATGTCCATCTGTGTGTACATACACGGACTACTCCATCTGTTTTTGAGATATCAACATTTTGCACACGTCCTTTTCGCCCTAGGAAGCTGCTGATTTATTGGAATCACACTGTTTATCGCATATATTAGTATATAGCCGTACCATAGCTGCCATACAAACTGAACGATCAAAATCAAGTTCTTGTATTGAAAACTATTTTATTTGACAAGAAGCAGCTCGATGAAACATTTTGTGATAGAGTACGTGATAATTTAGTTTGCTTAGGATAGTTCGATTCTTGGAGATTCATTGGAATTATTTGCATGCCTGTTTTATTGTTTTCTCACTTTTAATTGTTAAACACGCGAATATTGATAGATTTTGGAGAGCTCTGGTGAAAGATTGTGCATATACTTTACGTGTGCATGTCTTAACTACTAAAAAAATTTGTTCGAAATTTTAATAACTATGACTTTGGGTCGAGCAACAACATTATATAACAATAAAGATTTAAAAAAAAGCAATTTACGTACATATATGTATATACACCTACAGTTGATAGTTAGCTATTTTATAACCTAAAAAAATTTCGACACTGGCATTAATTTTCCGCTCATCAATTAATATTTTTTTAAATTAGTTGCATATATTATATAATGCATCTACCATATTCGTATGTATGCATGTGTGTGAGTGTATTTCTTAGCAGTTCTTATATTCATATAAAATAATTAGTGTCACGAATAGATGTGTGCACAAATGACTAGCGACATACATACACACGCTCAGCCAGAAGATCGTTAAGTGGAAGTTGTGAGCTTGTTTTTGGCTATTTATTTTGCACTCTTATAAAGCGGTCACTTGTCTAAATGACAAAATCAATGAAAAAACTGTAGCGCTAATAAACTGCTTCTGGTTTTACCAATCGCTGTTGCTGTTGCTCTCTGTCAGCTAGTGTACACAATGGTCGCTCCAGCGCGCCAAACTGCGCTCGTTCGTCTGTGTCGCGGTCTCGGTACATTTTCGACATTTCATAGTATTGCATAAAACTCGCTGATGGAGCCGGCACACGGCAACGCAATGCTGATATTACAAACCTGCTGCCAACCTTGGATGGTTCGTTTTTTTTTAACTTCAGACCATCCAGTCCATTTACCTGTTGCGATGCATCCATATTCACAAGCGACTACGTTTAAATTTATTTACACATTTATTTACATGTGCATGTAGATACGCATGCGCACGTACAAAGTGTATTACATTTTGAGACTTATGATACCCTTTAATTTTTTATAAGTATGTGTGTATATATGTGCATGCTTATTTTAGTTTTATTACAACGAATTTTTGTAATGCCTGCATTTTATTGAATGCCATCCAATACCGCAGTCTCTTATGGGTTAATTGCTTTTGCAGTCTTTACGTCTCTTCGTGGTTAAACTAGTTTTTTTGTTTGTAAGTTGACCTCGTAACTCTCTTTTACATTAAACGACGCACCAAAGGCGCTCTGCCGTCTTTTCGCATATTTCCTATGTACTACATATATGTATGTGTATGTATGCATACAAACATATGCACATGCATTCATATTTATGAAAGTGTTTGACTTTGTAAGCGAGTATTTATGTTCAAATATTCATTTGCATTCACTTTTCGGTTTACTTCTCTTGATTACTTCATTTTCTTGGGGGTTAATGTATTAGTTCTATTGCGTTTGTTGTAACATGTTTCGTCGAGAGTTTTTGTGCATAGTGTGTTTTTGTAAACAAGAAATAAAAAATTTAAATGGCGTTTGCTAGAGGGTCTAGGCATGAAAATTGCTTAACTTTATTTTAGTTAAAACAGCAATTAAGTAAATAATGGTTGAATCGTAAAAAAATTTATATATGTACAAATATACATACCTACATATGTACTATACGTATATGTATAACTATATGGTTATAGTACCTAATAACATACACTTAAGCAAATATTTGGGTTAATATTTATATTTGCACTAAATTGGGGGTTTCCAACAACGTGCTTTTTTACAAAAATGTGTATATGTAAATAGACTTAATAGCGCCTACATCCATGCTAAACGCTTGATTGAGCTTGTAGTCAAATTTATTGTGACCTACAAATTTTAAGTCGAATCTAATTGGCTAACAGATTTTATGAGGTGAGATTTCACTGCAGAAATACTGTCGTATTTTAAGAGTGTTGCTTTTAAAAAAAAGTTTGATGTTGCTCAACACAAGAATCGAACACAGGCGCTGCGTTTGCGTAGAACAATTTAGTTTCTGACAAAATTACGTCTGATTACTTCACAAAATTAAATGTTTTTTATTTGCCTTAATTATTATGTTTCCAAATTTCTGTAACAAGCTACTATCACTTATTTAGACATAGCTTTACCAATTGAAAAATATTTTTAACGCGGATAATTGTACAAAAATTAACAAAAATAAGTACTCCTTTTTTATGGTGGGCAAATGGATAACCTCTGTGATGTGGATAGTAATAATTTTATTGTTACACATTGTTATGGTGGTCCAAAAAGTATAGAGAGGACGTTTAACATAATTAATATATACCAGAAAAAAAGTTGTTTGTGTTTTTAAACAAATCGTTATATCGCATTAAAATTATGCTCATATTGAATTGGCAATTCTAATCCTTATGCTTCCCGGTTAACTTTATACTTAGAGAATGAATAAGTTATTTTCTCAAAAGCGTTAAAAATATGTCAAAATGTGACAAAAGTTACGTAAATTTGTTACTGTTTTTGATTTTTGGCCTTAGAACATGTAATGGAATTTCATCCAATAATTTAACAATCCTGTCTTAAAAGTAACATCCGTAATATCATTAATTACACGAGAGCTGCGATTCGACAACAGTAGACCAAATTGTACTTTACGAGAGAATATCGTCTACCTTCCGCAGACATTTGAGTCGTCTGCAGCCATTAATTGAATACTACCAATCCCTATTATAGTAGGTAGAAATATCAAAACCAGGAAACTGCTCAAGAGCTTTTGCTTAGATTATTTTATCAAATCTTGGAGTTTCAGTCATTGAATATCTTTAAAAAAAATAATGTGTATTTTATTAAAAAAAAAAATATTTTTAAAAACATATTGAAATATTTTTTTTTATTTAACGTTGTCTATAGATGCATTAATATGATTAAAATAATATTTATAATTGTAAAAATCGTGCAAAAATGCTACATTCTTATAAATTGATAGCCAATAACTTTCCAGATTTTTTAAATTGCTATTTTTACTCAACTTGAAAAACTGATTGAACGCACAAAAATTTAGCAATTTCTCTAATTAACTCATTAACTTTGAAAAGTGCTTTCCAAAAATGTAAACTCGGGTTCTTATCTACGTTTTCAATTAAACTAGCTTCTGTAGGCTTCAGCTAATAAAAATCATGTTATACGGCAACTACTTATGGTATACAATTTACTAGCCTTCCGAAATAGGATAGTTAGTCTATAAACAAGGGTTTGCAATGGGTTAACAGTTAATGACCTCCAAATAAAAGGAAAAAGTTAATTTTTACTAAAAGCTGTGTTTCAAAAAAATAAGGGTCAAATCAAAGATGCACCGCTTTTACTACATACATATGTATGCATTTACTACGATCGAATATATGAAATAGGTGTGTAGTATGTCTCTTAAAACACATCAACACAAATACTTCAAGGTCAGTTAGCACCAGTGTGCTTGTGTAATTGCAATTACGAAGGAAACTATTGTTCAAAAAAAAGCAAACAACAACAAAAATATATAAATGCGCGTTTCGTAATTTCACATCAAATTGCATTGAATTTTTGAGCGTACGCAAATTAATGTGTATATTCAAATTTTACTTTGTCTAGGTGGGCCGCAGGCGCGTGTTTGGTCAAAAAGTGATTAAGATACGTCATAGTCGTTATTGTTAATCATATTTTCCACTTACTGACATGGAACGACACGAATGCATGTAAGGATTATCTTTGCAAAATCATACATATAGGTATACCATATATTGTTATTCGCTCAGTCATTGCAACGAAAATCACTCCGCATGCGATAAATCAAATGACAGCAGAACAATCATTTTATAACAGCAAACAATTAAAAATTATCTTCTAGTTTATTTATTTAATTATTTAATGAATCTTATTTTCGAAACGCTTCCCGAATAAGAATTAGCAACATTATAATTACCTGTACCGATGCCCCAAAACGCCTCTTAATCGATTACTGCTATGAGTACGTGAATATAATCGCAAAAAACAACAATCAAAATAAACAAAGAAATAACCAAAGTTATATAAACAAAGTGGATAGTAAGCAACGTGTTTACTTCAGCGATGTGAGGTAGGACTGGTAAAATTGTGCTCAACTCGTATGTGGAACTCTCAGTTGCGATGGCTGCATGCTACTTACTGTGGCATGAACACCGTCCCAACATGCTGAGCAACCGAATGGAGTTTGCAGATTACTCAATATGGCTTTGTTGCAGAGTGTGGATTGTGGTTAGTGGCGCGCTATCGCAGCACCAATAGTTCGCACTGATATTGCCAAAGTAGTTGCAGCGGACGACTGCTGGTTGCTGCTGTATGGTGGAAGCAATGGGCGTGGAAGACAAGTGTTTATTATATTATTTATATTATTGCTTCATAAAAGGTGCGTTTCAAAGATAACAGCGAATGTGAAAAATTCTATTCCATCTTAGTTTCATTTAATCGCCAAAATTAATCTTCAAAAAACTGGAAGATTACGGTACGCAGAAATACATATATGTATGTATACCACACAAGCAGAAGAAAATCAAAGGCATCGGAAGATTTGTTTTTGAGTTACAACTGCAGCCAATTTGAAAAATATAGTTTTGAGAAAAACGCGTTTAAAGATAAACTAAAGGAGCTTAATGAACTGAGCGGATATACTGTAGAATGCAGTAACTCAAAAAATATTTGCAATATTCATTGCAAATTGTATTACCCCTTTACATAATAACTTTAATTAACATATTTTTTCACTAAGCTTAGTTACATTATTTGGCAAGACTTCCTTGACTATGGATTCAGTATGACGAGCAAATTCACAAACTTTGGTTCTGCTGCTGAAAATGTGGGATATTCTGAACTGTGAACGATTTTAGCTTAGCGCCTGATATATATTAATATATTTTATATACTTATGTGGTTTTTATTCCACCGAATTTGACGAAAAATCAATACATTTTTCAAAAATCTTCTTAATTACATAAATGATGCTAGCAAGTTAAAGTGAAGATTATCAAACAAGCAAATTTGTTTGAAATACTGCAAATTCACTAGTTTAGATTATGCCAATAGTAGTCGTTAAAGTCCTGCATGGCTTTTATACCCTTTTTGAAACTAAATATTTCGTTTACAATTTTTTATTAAAAGCTGATTTTTTTTGTTAAAAACTGATATTTTTGTTAAAAAATGAAATTATGTAATATATAGCTATAACTTTAAGTGCTTAAATAAAAACACTCTATTTTCTGTTTACCCTGGAATATACCCTTGTTGATTTTGATATTTATTTATTTACATTTGTGGTGCATTTTTGGTCTCTCCAACTGACATATAAGGAAGTCAAGCGATATACATACATACATACGTACATACTTGCACATATACATACATATCTACACAAATGTCCATTCACTTGCTACGATTGCGAATGGAACAGACAACAGTTGTTAAATTTTGAGATTTTTCCTGTTTGCAGCTAATGCTTGGCATTGTAGAGCTTCAATGACAAAACAGCTGTTAAATCCAGTGCACACATACACATTTACACACATTATAGGAAACTGAAATGTTGACAACAACCAAAATATAATTGTCAGAATATGTAAATAACGTTTATATGTGTTTGTAATTGAAATACTTCTGGAAGCGGAATGCAAATCTGACATATCCTTAATTGTAATTTTCTGATATGTTTTGCTACATATCTACCATAAATCTGAATTCTCTACATGAGAGTAATGTAAGTGCAAGTATTTTTAAAATGTTTACAATTAAATTCAGTTTTTGCACAAGTTTTGCACCATGGCTTGTGGAACATAAGACAGTTTCATTTGACTTGCTCAATACACAGCAACTGTGTGCAAATTTGTAGGTATGTATGTATGTGTGTAAGTGAGCTTGTGGCTAGCACCACTAACACTGTTAAAGAATCAGCAAGTTGCCGCAACACACACTCACACTTTTATGGAAAAATTAACACATTTTGTAATGTTTGCTATTCCACTTTTTCAACGTGCACGTAATTTTTGGTTAATCAGCAATTCGAAGCACAAATAGCAGCACCAGCACTAGCACATAGTAAATGCGAAATCACTAACTTACATACACAAGTAGGTATGTACCCAGTTTGTGTCTTAAGTCTTTTGTTTCAGCTCCGCTTTGCCATCCACAATTAGTAAACACATTAGAGCCTTAAAACAATGCGCTCAAAACTCAACGAGGGGTTTTGAATTGATTTTGCAGTTTAAAAAAAAAGTATAATGCAATATGTATTTCTATCACAACACTTTATTTTCGTATGTGATTGTTATATGCATATCATGACAACACTCGTTATTTTCAACAGCTTATTCAAATTTGTTTATTTATATTTTTTTCGCATACCATAAAACCAGATGATTTAGCAATTCCTTCACTTCCTTCACACCAACAAAAAACTACAACGATTGCGATTGCGCACCGTGCCAAACTTCGCGTATCAGAGACAATTCGTAACTGAAACCAAGCGATCGGGCAAACGACTGGCAAACCGTGGCAAAATCTGCTGTCGAATCACAATGCTACTTCTACTTAGCGAAAAAGCGCACTCGTAGTCACATATACCTATCTACATACGAATCCATGTGGAATCTACAAATATACATATGTAAGTGGGAATATACACATGTTTATAAAAATGTTCAAGTTTTACTCACTCTCAATTGCAGTAGTGCATGTAAGTCATAGGAGTAAACTAATAAAAGTATTGCATTATCCATGAAGACGACTTCGTGGAAACAGCAGTTCAAAATATAAATAAAACCCGATACCAACACACGTACATGGATTATACTTGTAGTGACAGTGGAGAAATAGATGATAAAAAAATATATAAAAAATGTGACGCAAATATTGCCGGTAAAGTTACATCGCATCAAATATAAATTTTATTGGGCGCAAAAAAGCGAACTAAACTTAAGAACACATTTTATATACATACATGTACCATCTGATCAAATTTCACTCGGACTGATATGCACACATACCTATAAACATAAGTAAATCTCTGAAGTCAAATTTTTTTTGAAAATTGCATCCACAGAACAATAAAGGTTGGAGTAGAATTTAAAAAAAAATGAATGAAATTTCAAAATTAAAACAGTATATTTATACATATACAAACACCTGAATGGGTCAGAGGTCGAAATTCGTACTTTAAATAAAAACTCAGATAAATATTTTGGTGTAATCCTATTGCGCAAAAATAGCTAAATAACACAAAAAAAATATTTAGTTGTTATTGAGGTCAACGAGTAGCATAGTGCCAATCCTATGTTAATTTGTTAAGCAAACTATGATTTTTGCCGATTTCAATGTCGTTGACTTTGCAGACTTTTATAATTTTATGAAAAATTAATCATTTTTGAGTTTCGAATTCCGTCCATAGTCAACTCGTATAATCGTTTTGACATTTACTGGATTCTTATTTAATCAGAATTAAGTACTTGATCGTACGGTTTGAGAATGTTGTTTGTTTTTCTTATAAATGCGAAAATGTCTAAGCTAATATTTGCTTTTAAAAACCTTTAACACGATCAAATAAATATATGACAAACAATATTCAATTACACTAAACAAACGCAAAAGCTCATACGTATTTTTTCTGATTTTTTATTTTAACCCAAGTCAGTGCATTCTTTTCTTCCAAATCAATATGGGTCTATTGAAACTAGTCTTAAAGCGACTACTATACAAGTAATTTACTTCAGAAACAGCAGCAATTTTCAATGCGGCTATTCACCTATTTTACTTGCACATATGTAAAAATGTATATGATTTTGTATATACGCATATTTATGCTCTTTTGCTTCAACGCCATTTCGAGTCATGTGTTTTCAAAAGATGGAATAAATCATACATATATGTACCAGTATTAGGTTTTCTTTTGTTTAGGTCATGGATTTACATTTAAAAACAACATCGAATTATAAATGCATACAACACCTTTACTGTAGGGATGCATGCTTATGGCTATTTACTATGGATGGGATTTTTTACTGACTTAAATTTATGTAAATATTGTATGAACACTACTCACTTCGTCCATATGTCTTTGCTCTTCATTTCAAGGTTAGCTTTCTTTAACAATAATGTTGGCTTGGTTACATCACTTTCAGTCGTCGATACAGATGACCTTGAAACCGAATTCTATGCATAACCATTTCGTGCAGTGTTGTGGTTTCGTTGATATTCGTTTGTGGTTAGTATGTCTGTATAAATATTATATGAAAATTATTGTAATATAACCTATTAATTATTGTTATAAATTGAAATTGAGCACATATAAATTGGAGCACATACAATTGCTATGTATAAATAGATGACTTGTAGAACAAAGAATTTAAGGATTTATTTAAAAAATTTAAACGTTCCCAAAAATTAAACATTTTATTAGCACATTGCACCTCACCCACCTAAATACTTTGGAGTCAATCCTTTTTTTATACTCTCGCAACCTGTTGCTACAGAGTATAATAGTTTTGTTCACCTAACGGTTGTTTGTATCACCTAAAATTAATCGAGTTAGATATAGGGTTATATATATATAAATGATCAGGATGAAGAGACGAGTTGAAATCCGGGTGACTGTCTGTCCGTCCGTCCGTCTGTCCGTCCGTCTGTCCGTCTGTCCGTCCGTCCGTGCAAGCTCTAACTTGAGTAAAAATTGAGATATCTTTATGAAACTTGGTAGACATGTTTCATGGTACCGTGAGACGGTTGGTATTGCAGATGGGCGTAATCGGACCACTGCCACGCCCACAAAACGCCATTAATCAAAAACAAATAACTTGCCATAACTAAGCTCCGCAATAAGATACAAGACTGTTATTTGGTACACAGGATCACATTAGGGAGGGGCATCTGCAGTTAAAATTCTTTTTTTAAAAGTGGGCGTGGTCCCGCCTCTAATAGGTTTAATGTGCATATCTCCTAAACCGCTAATGCTATAATAACAAAATTCACTGGAAGCAAATGTTTTTAGCACTTCTATTGACGGTGTGAAAATAGTTGAAATCGGGTGGCAACTCCGCCCACTCCCCATATAACGGTACTGTTAAAAACTACTAAAAGCGCGATAAATCAAGCACTAAACACGCCAGAGACATTAAATTTTATCTCTGAGATGGTATAAGATAACTTTATAGGAACCGCGTTCAAAATTAGACAGTGGGCGTGGCACAGCCCACTTTTAGGTGAAAACCCATATCTTGAGATCTGCTTAACCGATTTCAACCAAATTCGGTGCATAACGTTCTTTTCATGTTTCTATGTCATAGTGCGAAAATGGGCGAAATCGGATTACAACCACGCCTATTTTCCATATGACACCATTTTAAATACCACTTGATTCTTTCACTTTCCACTATGCAAATCAAGCAACAATGATTATATCGGCGTAAAACTTTGCGTGAATAATACGTTTAAAGTATGCCACCTTGTGACCAAAAATTTTCTAAATCGAACCAAAACTGTTCAAGCCCCTAAGTACTAAATATGTGGACCCCAGTGCCTATAGTGGACCTTCTACCGAAAATATCAGTCAATCCACAAAGAAATCTCAAACGAGTATACCATTTGACTTTGCGAGAGTATAAAATGTTCGGTTACATCCGAACTTAGCCCTTCCTTACTTGTTTTAATTTTTTTTTTCAAAGTAATTAAGTGCTTTCAGTTTCAATAGTCGCAATTTGATGCCTTTACTTTTGGCTATTAAAACTTTCGGAATTATGTTCTCATAACTTACTGAAGGTAAATTTCAAAATATTTCGAATTTACATATATTTGATGAATTTAAAGTTGATCCGGCGAATAATGTCGAAGATATGAGAGTATTTTTAAAAAAGTTTTAACTTACTAGTTATAATCAACTCCCAAAAACTTTCTTGGCGTTTTTCTCGATACGGTGCTTTTTCCCCCTAACTGCTGGATCGATTGGCTTGAAAATTTCGCACGACCTTCTTAAATATATTTGTCAGGTAATGATCGAATGCATAAGATTTTTTACAAAAATTTCTCTTTTTTTGGGAATGCACCATTTTGCCAAA